TAATTGTTTCGTTGCCAATTTATCTTGATTTGTTCGCCGACAAAAAGGAACTTCTTTCAAAGAGACAATCGCGTTGCACTGAAGGCTAGCCATTTTGACAGTAATAGTGAATTGATTGATGAGGCTACCCGCTCTTTTCTTAGTTACGTTCATGGTTATGTTACGTATGACGAAAGCGCGTAAGTGCAAGCCCTCAGAAACCCATAGAGATTGTATTGAAAGCTCTGATATTTGAAAAAAATTGATTTTACATTAGAGGCTATGAGAGACTTCTGGGCGATTTTCAACCTGACTGAAATCGCCCCAAAACGGGCGGGGACATTTGAAGCACGACTTTAGCCTGATTGGACATTTAGTGGCAGATCAGACGTCTAGATTAGAACACTCATAACTACTGTTGCCGTGATATAATTGATTAGAAAAAAAATCCCTTCCTTTTCCCGTTTGGCAGTGCGTCGCCCATATCGCCCTAATGAACACACCGCCCCTGACCTATACCTATGAGTTTATTGCCTATACCTACCTATGAGTTTATTGCCTATACCTACCTATGATTTTTTTAAACCTATACCTATGAGTTTATTACCTATACCTATGAGTTTATTACCTATACCTATGAGTTTATTACCTACACCTATGAGTTTATTACCTATACCTATTAGTTTATTACCTATACCTACCTATGAGTTTATTTCCTATACCTATGAGTTTATTACCCATACCTATGAGTGTATTCCCTATACCTATGAGTATATTACCTATACCTATGATTTTATTGCCTATACCTATGAGTTTATTGCCTATGCCAATACTTATGAATTTATATCCTATACCTACCTATGAGTTTATTATCTATACCTACCTATGAGTTTATTACCTATACCTACAGTATGAGTTTATTACCTATACCTACCTATGAGTTTATTACATATACCTACCTATGAGTTTATTACCTATACCTATGAGTTTATTACCTATACCTATGAGTTTATTACCTATACCTACCTATGAGTTTATTACCTATACCTACCTATAAGTTAATTACCCATACTTGAAGTGAGGATGTAATTGAATATAGGCTACTGTGGTGTTTTACCTTGGTGAACTTATTACCTATTCTTATGAGTTTATTACCTATACCGATGAGTTTATTACCTATACCTATGAGTTTATTACCTATACCTATGAGTTTATTACCTACACCTATGAGTTTATTACCTATACCTATTAGTTAATTACCTATACCTACCTATGAGTTATTACCTATACCTACCTATGAGTTTATTGCCTATACCTACCTATGAGTTTATTGCCTATACCTACCTATGATTTTTCTTAACCTATACCTATGAGTTTATTACCTATACCTATGAGTTTATTACCTATACCTATGAGTTTATTGCCTACACCTATGAGTTTATTGCCTATACCTACCTATGAGTTTATTACCTATACCTACCTATGAGTTTATTACCTATACCTATGAGTTTATTGCCTACACCTATGAGTTTATTACCTACACCTATGAGTTTATTGCCTATACCTATGAGTTTATTACCTATTCTTATGAGTATATTACCTAAACCTATGAGTTTATTGTCTATTCCTATGAGTTTATTAGCTATACTATGAGTTTATTGCCTACACCTATGAGTTTATTGTCTATTCCTATGAGTTTATTAGCTATACTATGAGTTTATTGCCTACACCTATGAGTTTATTGCCTATACCTATGAGTTTATTACCTATTCTTATGAGTATATTACCTAAACCTATGAGTTTATTGTCTATTCCTATGAGTTTATTAGCTATACTATGAGTTTATTGCCTACACCTATGAGTTTATTGTCTATTCCTATGAGTTTATTAGCTATACTATGAGTTTATTGCCTACACCTATGAGTTTATTGCCTATACCTATGAGTTTATTGCCTATACCTATGAGTTTATTACCTATTCTTATGAGTATATTACCTATACCTATGAGTTTATTGTCTATTCCTATGAGTTTATTAGCTATACTATGAGTTTATTGCCTACACCTATGAGTTTATTACCTACACCTATGAGTTTATTGCCTATACCTATGAGTTTATTGCCTATACCTATGAGTTTATTACCTATTCTTATGAGTATATTACCTATACCTATGAGTTTATTGTCTATTCCTATGAGTTTATTAGCTATACTATGAGTTTATTACCTTTACCTACCAATGAAGTTATTACCTATACCTACCTATAAGTTTATTACCTATCCCTACCTATGAGTTTATTACCTATACCTATGAGTTTATTACCTTTACCTACCAATGAGTTTATTACCTATACCTACCTATGAGTTTATTACATATACCTACCTATGAGTTTATTACCTATACATATTTATTACCTTTACCTACCTAGAGTGTATTAACTATACCTACTATGAGTTTATTACCTGTACCTACCTATGAGTTTATTACCTACACCTATGAGTTTATTGCCTATACCTATGAGTTTATTGCCTATACCTATGAGTTTATTACCTATTCTTATGAGTATATTACCTATACCTATGAGTTTATTGTCTATTCCTATGAGTTTATTAGCTATACATGAGTTTATACCTTACCTACCAATGAGGTTATTACCTGTACCACCTATAAGTATATTACTATCCCTACCATGAGTTTATTACCTATACCTATGAGTTTATTACCTTTACCTACCAATGAGTTTATTACCTATACCTACCTATGAGTTTATTACATATACCTACCTATGAGTTTATTACCTATACATATGAGTTTATTACCTTTACCTACCTATGAGTGTATTACCTATACCTACCTATGAGTTTATTACCTGTACCTACCTATGAGTTTATTACCTATACTTATGAGTTTATTACCTAGACTTCTGAGATTATTACCTATTCCTTATTAAGTTGACTGTTCCCAGTTAATCTCAAATATGTTCATTCATATTGGTAATTTTTTGTGTATAATGAATCTGTATTGGATATTGGTGGAGTTATTTATCAGATGTGTTACAGTTAACTATGCCCCTGGAGGAGGTGAAATATATTTGAAAACAGAACCAGTGTTTTCAGTTATGGTGAAAATATTTATTTCAGCATTGTTATCATGTGGAACTCCAGAGTGAAAGGTTGTTCAACATCTTGAGAATAGAATGTGTGTTTCACAAAGCAAGTCACATTGTTATCACTTGGCAGCTCTGGGATCTTGATGCCTCTCCACATAAGGGAGTGAACGTTATTTATAGTAAGGGTTACATGGAGAAAATTGGACCTCTCTGAAATTAAAACGGATGGCCCTCCCTTCAGCAAAATATATTTGACCTAAACCCTCCCTGAACGCTTAAAAAACAAACAAGTGACCCTCCCCTATACCAAAATAATAATTAACACATTAAGTGGATAGCAATGAACATGCCTACCATTTACCCTCACTTCTTGGACAGACCAGAGCCTTAGATATGCAGTTTTAGAAACTGTTTTTTGTCCTGTAAGCATTACATGGCAATGCAGGAATTTTCATAGCGCACAGGGCTGCAGGCCAGAAGGTTGTGGGTTCGCAGACCATTGTGGACAAGATAAGGAGGGGAAGATCTCCTTTATAGTAAATGCATTGATTTAATCTATCCTCTTATTTGCTGGTCTGAGAACAATTGGTCTTTAATAAACATTTCATGCAATTCTACATTATTTGACATATTAGCAGTATCTTTTTAATACCACAAAAATTTCCAAAATTACCGGCTAAGAATGGACAGAGAGCTAGGCCTATGTGTTCATCGTATCATATTTCTCCAATGCCAAATCAGTGTGTCTTGTTTGCAACAAAACTGTCCCTGTTTGCAAATAATTAAATCTGAGATGGCATTAGGAATCTGAGCATGGTACTTTCAACAGTTATGCCTACCTTTCCACCCCAGACAGAGTATGCCTACCAACACAGAACATTGTAAGCTTTAACTTCTGGCTTCTCTTCTTCCGTTGCTTAACCCAATGAGAGAAGGTCACAAGTGTTTCCCCAAAATGTGTCTGGGTTTAAACATTTTCTATTGTACAGAAAGTGAATAGCTTAATCAATAGATTGTGACAGAATTAGATGACTTCCCAAGCAAAGTCATTTTTTTGTCTCCTCGGCTATAGAAGGTTGTAGCTCAGCCTCTGAATGTCAATGAAATGAAACAATAATATTCCCATATGCATCGGAGTCACGTCTTTCCCGGGTATTTATCAGCTTGTATCTAGAATATAGCATTGGGGACCAAAGCGCTGTTATAGATCGCTTCATATAAACTGATCCGTTTTATTTTCTTACACATCTTAAGCTAGCAAATTATTTTTGCCATTTTCTTTAATAAAAGGTAGGCCTATGGAATACCCTCTCATACCCCCTCAATTCGAGTCTTGGTTTTAACTTAACAGCCCTTAATTGACACAGAGGTATGCTATTTAAAGAGTGCATGGTGGGTGGAGGAATTGACTGACAAATCTATGGATATTGCACCATAGCCTAATTTTGTCTGTCAAACAGGTAGGCCTACCTCTTATTTCTTAAATAGCATTTTTTGGAATAGGCCTAATAAAAATAAAATGAAAACAGAAGAAGCCTTTGACTCTCCTCCTGAACTGCCACCATAGGCCTACACAGCACAGCCATTGGTTAGGCAGCACACACATTTTTTTTTAAATCAGCAAGAGCAGAGCAGGCCGGGCTCAGGGTTGGAATACTCACTGCAGTGTGTAATGCAGACTCATTTTATTTACACCATCCCAGCAGCTATCTTAGAAATGCATGCACTTCGTAGCCTATAGCCTATAGGCTATGGATCATTTGATTGAGACCACACTAAATAGCCTATAGGCGCATTTGATATTGCACGCCCAGCGGAAAATCAGAGTTCAGGGGCGGCAGGAGGAACCCTGGAATTGCTCTGGCCAATAGAGGTCACGGAAACGTGACACGCTACGCTCACAGTCAACCACCAATGTATGTCAAGCCCCAATCTCAAGACAATGAGGAGGAGGAAAGGTGGATCATTGTTTCTGCATGGCGGTTGCCTGTATGGTAGAGCCATTAGTAGTAAATTAATCTCAAGACTGAGGCAGATGTGGAGTGGTTTGGTCAGTGGGACAGGTACAGTACAGTACCACAGAGATGGGGGGTGATTTGTCCACTACAAATAAACCCAACTAAGTTGAATAACAGGCATCTATCTATTCCTTGGGTTAAATGCGCAAGACAGATTTTGGTTGAATGCATTCAGTTGTGCAATTGACTAGGTATCCCCTTTCCCCCTTTCCATTATAGTATTGGTGATGCTACTTTGTCTAGCATTGAGATTGTTGGTGGATTTTCTAAGGCAATGCGGGAGATAGGTCAAGTAGGTTATACAGTAGATGCTTGAAATTGGTAAATCCTCTTTCCTATTGCTTTTTCCCCTGACAAGCAAAAAGAGAGCACTCGGGTAGGCTATTTGTTACACAACTCTCTCCAGATCATGGATGACCCCTTACTAGGCCTTATGTCTGTCAAACCCATTGATTGTTGCCTAACATCACATTGATGGGAACAGAACGTTCAGATGGGAACATTCTCAATCACTTTTAGAAAATTATGCTTGAAATTCCCCATCTGCTAGAAAGTCAGACCCAGAGCCCTTTGAAGCTGTTTCTCTGGGTTAAGAAGTTAATTTAAATTGTTTAAAAAAATGGTTTTTTCTCCCCTCTGTGGGCACTTGTGATGGAGAATGGGAGTGATAGGGAGAGGTCAGCCAAGTGCAAAGGGAGCTCATCCCTCTCTGGTGGTATGTCTGTGTCAGTGCAGACTACACACACACACACACACACACACACACACACACACCAAGCGTCTCTGTTTCTCTTTGATTGACTAGACTGCTTCCAACATAACCATCAGTGCAGTGTTATATTAACTGAGCTGTTGGTGTTTACAGGTTCCTCAGATCTCTTACCTCTCCTGTGCATGATGGATTCTTGGATTGGGAGATTTATACCAACACAGCAGAAGCACTTCAGTTGAATCTGGATGTTTTACATTCAGGGCTGTTCAGTTGTTATTGCTGTTATTAACAGGGATGATAACAGCATCCCCCTCTATAAGACTTATCGCTCTCTTGCTGAGCCAGCTGTATATTTAGTTTTAACCCTGCATGGGATTTCAATTTCAAGAATCCTCCTGGCTTACACAGTGGAAGAGCTCGTAGGAATCTCGTTATACGGGATATTCCTATAGTTAGCCACGTTTAATTCTATATAACCAGAAAAAGCTCACTGGCCAACCATCTTGGCCAGATGTTCCTTTATTCTGCTTTTTTAAAGGGGAGGCTAGGGCATTCTGGCTCCAAACTCCCAAGGCTAATCTACTGGCTATTAAAAAAGTAACTCTCTCTTACTGTTGTCTTAACCATATTGTTGGCAGAGTGCAGTGCTTTCTGAAGGACCCAGTGTGAGAGTGTAGTCACAGTGATTCAGGATTTTCTGCCGGAATCACTGAATCACTGGAACTTAACACCGGATCATCGCAACTAGCTAGCTGCAACCAAATGGATGTTGTTGACTAATCACCACCTACCCCGAAGCAAGCACCAGTTAGCCTTGAGCTAGCCTCGAGCCAGGCCCATCTCCCGGCTATCTACCTCTCTGTCAACTGGACGGGAACTCCTAGTGTCGACACGGAGCTCCGCCGATCCATCACGACAGGTCTGCCGACGTAAACGTCTGATGTGGTTTCAACAGGCTTCCCGTTGCGACGACCACGAAGATCCATCTGCTAGCCCCGGCCCGCTAGCACACGCAATCAACAGCCGTGCTTCCTGCTCGCCTGTGCTGTAGCAGCCATTCGAACTGCTCCCGGTCTCACCTATTGCTGTTCACTGGACCTTATGATCACTCAGCTGCACAGCTGATGCCTGCTGGACTGTTCCTTTACACGGTACCCCCATCCTGTTTATCTGTCCTGTTTATCTGTTTAGCCTCAGCCCAAACTTTCGTCACCATTACCAATTGTTGTCTTAGCTCTCTCGAATAACACCTGTGATTGCTTTATGCCTCTCTCCCATGTCAATATGCCTTGCCTATTGCTGTTCCGGTTAGTTCTTATTATACAATTTCACTGTAGAGCCCCCAGTCCCGCTCAACCAGCCTCAGAGAGCTCCTTTGTCCCACCCCCCATACACGCGGAGACCGGCTCAATCGGTGCCTCCAGTGATGTTATCTCTTTCATCGTTACCCAACGCTTAGGTTTACCTCCACTGTACTCATATCCTTTCTTATCCTTGTCTGTACATAATGCCCTGAATCTATTCTACAACGTCCGGAAATCTGCCCCTTTTATTCTCTGTACCCAATGCACTAGAAGACCAGTTCTTAAAGCCTTTAGCTGTATCCTTATTCTACTCCTCCTCTGTTCCTCTGGTGATGTAGAGGTTAACCCAGGCCTTGTAGCCCCCAGCATCACTCCTACTCCCCAGGCGCTATCATTTGTTGACATCTGTAACCGTAAAAGCCTTGGTTTTTTGCATGTTAACATCAGAAGCCTCCTCCCTAAGTTTGAGTTATTCACTGCGTTAGCACACTCCGCCAACCCTGATGTTCTAGCAGTGTCTGAATCCTGGCTTAGGAAGACCACCAAAAGCTCTGAAATGTCCATCCCCAACTACAACATTTTCAGTCTAGATAGAACTGCCAAAGGGGGCGGAGTTTGCAATCTACTGTAGAGATAGCCTGCAGAGCTCTATCATACTATCCAGGTCTGTGCCCAAACAGTTTGAGCTTCTACTTTAAAAATCCACCTCTCCAGAAATAAGTCTATCACTGTTGCCGCTTGCTACAGCCCCCCCTCAGCCCCCAGCTGTGCCCTGGACACCATATGTGAATTGATTGCCCCCCATCTATCCTCAGAGTTCATACTGCTTGGTGACCTAAACTGGGATATGCTTGACACCCCGGCCGTCCTACAATCTAAACTAGATGACCTCAATCTCACACAAATTATCAAGGAACCTACCATGTACAACCCTAAATCCGTAAACATGGGCACCCTCATAGATATCATCCTGACTAATTTACCCTCTAAATACACCTCCGCTGTCTTCAACCAGGATCTCAGCGATCACTGTCTCATTGCCTGCGTCCGTAATGGGTCCGCGGTCAAACGACCACCCCTCATCACTGTCAAACGCTCCCTAAAACACTTCAGCGAGTAGGCCTTTCTAATTAACCTGGTCCGGGTATCCTGGATGGATATTGACCTCATTCCGTCAGTAGAGGATACCTGGTTGTTCTTTAAAAGTGCTTTCCTAAAATGTGGATTGACCAGATTGTTGACTTTCTCCCTCTTGAAAAGCTCACTTATGACCTCCACAAGAGACAGCCCAAGTTTGATAGACTCTGGTCTCCACTACTCAACTATATTTCAAATTGGACAGAGTGAATGGGGGAATCAGGGAGATGGGCAGATGCGTGTTGTGTAAGGTGCTGTAAAACCTAAAAACTAATTATTGGCTCGTCATCTCAGCTAAGGCTGGAAATAGCTAATAAGAACCTTGATAGTGCTGCTGCAAGTTCTATAATTTAAATTTTGTTATAATTATTATTTGTGTGTGTATGTATGTATGTATGTATGTATGTATGTATGTATATATATGTATGTATATATATATACATATATAAAACAATTTTTTATTATTATTATTTAAAAAATAAATAATTTAATTCACATCTGTGAATGTGGAATGTGTTTGGTTGGTTGATTGAAAACTTAATAAAACTTTAAATTGAAAAAAAAAAAGTGCTTTCCTCTCCATCTTAAATAAGCATGCCCCATTAAAGAAATTCAGAACTAAGAACAGATATAGCCCCTGGTTCACCCCAGACTTGACTGCCCTTGACCAGCACAAAAACATCCTGTGGCGTACTGCATTAGCATCGAACAGCCCCGCGATATGCAACTTTTCAGGGAAGTCAGGAACCAATATACACAATCAGTTAGGAAAGCAAAGGCTAGCTTTTTCAAACAGAAATTTGCATCCTGTAGCACTAACTCCAAAAAGTTTTGGGACACTGTAAAGTTAATGGAGAATAAGAGCACCTCCTCCCAGCTGCCCACTGCACTGAGGCTAGGAAACACTATCACCACCGATAAATCTACGATAATCAAGAATTTCAATAAGCATTTTGCTACGGCTGACCATGCTTTCCACCTGGCTACCCCTACCCCGGCCTCCAGATGACACAATTTTGTATACATCTGGCCCTTCATTGGACACTGTGTTAACAAACCTCCAAACGAGCTTCAATGCCATACAACACTCCTTCCATAGCCTCCAACTGCTCTTAAACGCTAGTAAAACTAAATGCATGCTCTTCAATCGAACGCTGCTTGCACCCGCCTGCCCGACTAGAATCACTACACTCGGCGGGTCTGACTTAGAATATGTGGACAACTACAAATACCTAGGTGTCTGGTTAGACCATAAACTCTCCTTCCAGACTCACATTAAGCATCTCCAATCCAAAGTTAAATCTAGAATCGGCTTCCTATTTCGCAACAAATCCTTCTTCACTCATGCTGCCAAACATGCCCTCGTAAAACTGGCTATCCTACCGATCCTTGACTTCGGCGATGTAATTTACAAAATAGCCTCCAACACTCTACTCAGCAAATTGGATGTAGTCTATCACAGTGCCATCCGTTTTGTCACCAAAGCCCCATATACTACCCACCATTGTGACCTGTACGCTCTCGTTGGCTGGCCCTCACTACATATTTGTCGCCAAACCCACTGGCTCATCTATAAATCACTGCTAGGCAAATCCCTGCCTTATCTTAGCTCATTGGTCACCATAGCAACACCCACCCGTAGTATGCGCTCCAGCAGGTATATCTCACTGGTCATCCCCAAAGCCAACACCTCCTTTGGCTGCCATTCCTTCCAGTTCTTTGCTGCTAATGACTGGAACGAACTGCAAAAATCTCTGAAACTGGAGACTCTTATCTCCCTCACTAACTTTAAGCATCAGTTGTCAGAGCAGCTTACCGATCACTGCACCTGTACACAGCCCATCTGTAATTAGCCCACCCAACTACCTCATCCCCATATTGTTATTTATTTTGCTCATTTGCACCCCAGTATCTCTATTTGCACATCTTCTTCTGCACATCTATCACTCCAGTGTTAATACTAACATTGTAATTATTTTGCACTATGGCCTATTTATTGCCTTACCTCCATAACTTACTACATTTGCACACAGTGTATATATATTTTCTATTGTGTTATTGACTGTATGTTTTGTTTTATCCCATGTGTAACTCTGTGTTGTTGTTGTTTTTATCGCACTGCTTTGCTTTATCTTGGCCAGGTCGCAGTTGTAAATGAGAAATTGTTCTCACCTGGTTTACCTGGTTAAATAAAGGTGCATTTTTTTTTACAAAAATAAAAAACTGTTAGAAACTCTAACTGCATAGTAAATAGTAGTAGCAACTTCTTATTTTGGCAGGTGGTCCCCACTCTTGTCGTGGTTTTCAGCTCTCCGTTGTAAATCTGCCACTAGAGCATAAAACATCTTGTGAGTTTATCTTTATGTTTGTCTGTTCTGAAAGACTCAAACTAAAGACAACTCACCGTGAAATACCACTGTCTCAGAACGACATTGCAGTGGGTTGGCTGTATCGTCACACCATGAGGCAATGAACTTAAGGAATATAACAGTACAGGACAGGTTAACCCGAATGTAACCTCACAAAACCATTATAGCCCACCAACTGTGAGCCAGTAAAGCCTGGAAATGAATAATGGACAATTTTAAGTTCCTTGTCTGGGAAATTCACAGCAGCATTAAAGCCAGTTGCTTAACTGAAATATATTGTGAAAAATGTGTGGAAATATTGTAATGTGCCATTGAGGTAAAGATGGTGGCCCTGAGCGCCACAGTGCGATACAGGAAGCCAGTGATCATGTCGGTGGCCACTGACTGACTACCGCTGACTACTGTTGTGCTTCTCTGCTATATCCATGGACACACTGCAGCAAAGATGACTCACAAGCCTCTGACCTTTCTCTTTCATAAAGGAGTGCCCCCCACCATCCTCTCTCTCCCTTTGTTCCCCATGTTGGACATACAAAGAGATGGAGTGGCAAGGTTAAATGAAGGAGTCATAATTCCGCATTGTTGTTTTTGCCTTGAAGACCCCAAAAAAGATCCTTTCCCCCTCACTCCAGAGATGGCGTTACTGGTACATGGTAGGACGGGAAGCACAGGGAGACGTGTACCAGCCGCAGATGAGGGAATTCCGTACATTATACCCTGCACTTTAAGGTATGACTGGGGATTTCCTCCTGAACACAGTGACAGTACAGTCATCTCATACCGTAATAATTGGGTTTTATTACATAGTATCACACATGAGCTGTTGGCCACTAGCCCGGACTGCCTGGAACAGCCACATTCAGACTCCCACTCTTGTTCTCTCACTTGCTTTTGCTTTTGTTCTCTCTCTGTCTCTTTCTCTCTTCCTCTTTAAGCAGAATCACATTGAGTTCAGCTGTTTTTTACCCAAAGATTCAACGTCATGAGATAGTTGTTGTATTACACAAGTGCTTGGCAGCACAGCTGAAACTATTTTTGTGGGTTTTCAAGAGCACACTGTTTTCCATGGGGACTAGACACAAAGACAGGGTTTGGATTAGTTTAAAAACGGTCAAATTAGCAATGTTGGAATTGGTCATTGTTTGGAGGACTTGTTAGTTCTGTCAGACTCAATATTTGCTTTCTGTTTGGCTTGACCACAAACACTTCAGAATAGAACTTGGAATCCCATCATTTGGGAGCAAAAGTCCTTCCTGGAAATGTAGCGACCGCAAGTGTTTACACAACACAATGTCCTGTGCTGTTTCCCCAGCTCTAACCTACAGGTGTAGGATCTTAATTTAAGCCAGTTTGCTACAGCAGGAAAATAATCCTGCAGCAACAGGAAATGTGAATTATTATGTTGATTATAATAAATTGACATTTTTTTTGTAGGGGTTGATAAATGTATCGTTAGGGCGAATCAAGTCTGACATTTTAAAGTAGGAATTGCAAACTTTAGAAGCCCTTTTAAACCTACACTACAAGTTTGCATTTCCTTCAAATTCTCAGCAACAAAAGAGTGATCAAATTAAGATTCTACATCTGTAACATAGCAGGCGTAAATGAAAAGCTGAGCGGGGTCAAATGACACCGGAAGCATCTTCTCTGCTTTTCCTCTGAAAACCGGATGCTGCCAGTTTCTACCGACCCTGCTCAGGGTGCCCCAGCTCTGCACAGAGGGAGGCTAAGGACTTATGAATGGGGGTCCCAGAGTAACACCGCCAATGTCAACTGTTGTTTGATAACTGGCCCAACACCAGCCAGCAGAGTGAGCTAAATATGGCAACACAGATAGTGGTCGCTCTCTCTGTCTCTGGTTCCATGTCTGTCCTTTTCTTTAATGTCTCCTAATGAGAACCAGGTCTGGGGCCCTCTGAACTGAACCAGCACAACAAGCACAAATTCTGGCATTTTCAGGCGTTCCACTGGAGGAATGCAGCACACAGCTGTTCGCGGGGGGTTGCGGCAGGGGCCTGCTGAGGTCAGCGCTGGGCAGGCAGGTGGGGGTAGGATGGGATGGGAGGCTGTGGGTGGATAGAGACAGGGAAAGGGCAGGGAGTGGGGGGCTTGATGAGCCTGCCGGGCCCCTGCTGAACCATCCATCTGTAGTTTGTTACAGTGCAGACTGGGGGATACTGTTCTTGGTTCCATAGTTGCTATATTCATTTTTGGACTTCATTTTTGGAATTCATGATATATACCCATTGATTCTTGAAGAATATAACTTAGAAATGCCTCATGAGCTTAGTTCAATTGTTGTACCGGATCAGAACCCCAAATATAAGCTTGTTTTACTCCAATGTTTGTAAACAATGTAAATGTAAACAAACACTGTATAACCTCAAAACATGGTTAAAACTATAATGTTGATATCATGGATGGCCAGTTCTTGCATCCATAGCTCTGTCTATGAATTTGAGAGTGGTTGCATTTCTCTAGGCCCATCCCTTAGCTTTTTACCAAAACACAGGCGGGGTGGCCGCTTTGTTATTGTTTCAATCAAGGAATCTAGCTTTAAGAGATGAGTTGCCCTCCAGTAAGGTGGAAGGTCAGGTTGTAGTATGTATTGTGTTTGTGTGTGTGAGAGAGACACTTTGTGCCAAAAAGCAAGTGGAACATAGTGTGGAACAAAAGTGGTGGAGTGGAGTTTTTGAATGGCAGTAATCTCAAGAGGCAAGTTCAATTACAACCAAACAGTAATACAGTAATGTAATATCAACAGTAGTGTCCCATGCATGTCTAACCCAAAACATCCTGGAGGCAATTTGTGGACAGTAAATAAGGCTTTTTAGGGATATATACCAGAATGTGCAAAGCTGTCATCAAGGCAAAGGGTGGCTACTTTGAAGAATCTAAAATCTAAAATATATTTTGATTTGTTTAACACTTTTTTGGTTACTACATAATTCCATATGTGTTATTTCATAGTTTTGATGTCTTCACTATTATTCTACAATGTAGAAAATTGTAAAAATAAAGAAAAACCGTTGAATTAGTTGGTGTGTCCAAACTTTTGACTGGTACTGTATATATATATATATTGTGATGTGGTGGTGTTGAAGGAGTCAGGCGCAGGAGGGTAAATCACAGAAAAACAGGCTTTAATCCGCAAAATACAGGTTTACGCAGAACTGCGGCAAACACACTCCAGGGCACAAAACAGGTGCACTGGAAAATAGAAGGCACACGGGAAAATACTCCCGTCAAACAAAATACACAAGCTCCACCGAGCTTCAACTAACCTTCACAACAAACAATCACCCACAAGGACAAGGGGGCAGAGGGAACACTTATACAAGGACTAATTATGGGATTAGAACCAGGTGTGTGTGATAACGAGACAAGACAATTGTGATGATGATTGGGGCGGCAGTGGTTAGTACTCCGGTGACGACGAACGCCGAAGCCTGCCCGAACAAGGCAGCCTCGGGGAGGCAGCCTCGGCCGAAGTCATGATATATATACACCACCGTTCAAAAGTTTGGGCTCACTTGTTTTCGAAAGAAAAGCCATTTAAGTCCATTAAAATAACATCAAATTGATCAGAGATACAGTGTAGACATTGTTAATGTTGTAAATGGCTATTGTAGCTGGAAGGCGACTCCGGGATGCTGACCTAGGCAGTGTTGCAAAGAAAAAGTCCAGTGTCTGTGTTCTTTTGCCCATCTTAATCTTTTCTTTTTATTGGCCAGTCTGAGATATGGCTTTTCCTTTGCAACTCTGCCTAGAAGGTCAGCATCCTGGAGTCGCCTTTTCACTGTTGACGTTGAGACTGGTGTTTTGCGGGTACTATTTAATGAAGCTGCCAGTTGAGGACCTGTGAGGCGTCTGTTTCTCAAACTAGACACTCTAATGTATCTGTTTGCGCTGTTCTGTGAAGGGAGTAGTACACAGCGTTGTACGAGATCTTCAGTTTCTTGGCAATTTCTCGCATGGAATAGCCTTCATTTCTCAGAACAAGAATAGACTGACGAGTTTCAGGAGAAAGTTATTTGTTTCTGGACATTTTGAGCCTGTAATCGAACCCACAATTGCTGATGCTCCAGATACTCAACTAGTCTCAAGAAGGCCAGTTTTATTGCTTCTTTAATCAGCACAACAATTTTCAGCTGTGCTAACAATGGTGGTGGCAGCATCATGCTGTGGGGATGTTTTTCAGCGGCAGGGACTGGGAGACTAGTCAGGATCGAGGGAAAGATGAACGGAGCAAAGTACAGAGAGATCCTTAATGAAAACCTGCTCCAGAGCACTCAGGACCTCAGACTGGGGCGAAGGTTCACCTTCCAACAGGACAACGACCCTAAGCACAAAGCCAAAACAACGCAGGAGTGGCTTCGGGACAAGTCTCTGAATGTCCTTGAGTGGCCCAGCCAGAGCCCGGACTTGAACCCGATCTACCATCTCCGGAGAGACCTGAAAATAGCTGTGCAGTGATGCTCTCCATCCAACCTGACAGATCTTGAGAGAATCTGCAGAGAAAAATGTGAGAAACTCCCCAAATACAGGTGTGCCAATCTTGTAGCATCATACCCAAGAAGACTTGAGGCTGTAATCGCTGCCAAAGGTGCTTCAACAAAGAACTGAGTAAAGGGTCTGAATACTTATGTAAATGTGATATTTCATTTATTTTTTTATTTGTAAAAACAATATTTTAAAAAATGGTTTTTTGCTTTGTCATTATGGGGTATTGTGTGTAGATTGATGAGGGGGAAAAAACAATTTAATCCATTTTAGAATAAGGCTGTAACGTAACAAAATGTGGAAAAAGTCAAGGGATCTGAATACTGTATATAAACATTAATGGACAGTTTTCTAGGAATCTCAGTGTAAATAAAAATTTTTTGCACCACCAAATTCTTCAGGCCTTTGTTTATGTACATCAATCTATCCATGTGTAAATACACACGGGCAATAACAACTGAGTAATATCTACAGAGTAATAATAATGTGTTTGTCTGGAGATGCTGATCTCTGATTATGTTTCGCATAAGTAGAAGTATTAAAGACAGTGGTGTAGTATACTTCGACCCTATACTGTAGTACTCTGTCATACTGAGAGGAATGTTTTGAACACTTTTAAAACCTTTACCACATCCCTTCCCCTCCAAATAACCTTGGACTATGAAACAATGATGTTACAACATTTTGGAAGGAAGTTGATATTGAGTGCCAGCATTGGCATGGGCAGTTCATTCTTAGACAACAGCTGTTCAGACCCCCACAATGAAACAAATTGCAACTCTGTGTACTTTTGAGTGTGTATGCGTGTGTGTGTGATTTGTGTGTTCACGTGCATTTGTGTGTGTGAAGGTTTCTGGAGTCCTCCCAGGGAATTAGCCTTGTTGTGTAATTCCATTGTCTTTCTGGATACACTATGATACAAATAAAAGCTTCCCTGCAGACATTTGCGCTTAAAGAGAATACTTTATAAACGTGTTTGCCTGGAAACCACATGTTGACAGTACACAAGCTGCTTGGGGAGTAGAGAGTCAAAAGAAGGAAATCACTTATGAGACCGTCACACCTCACGGACAGCAGGGAGAATGACTGTGCTTCCTATGCTGAGCACCACGAGCAGCACCTATCAACAGCTTTGTCACGCCCTGGCTCTGGGGACTCTAGTATGTTGAGCCAGGGTGTGGGTTTTCATTTGTTTTTCGTTCTAGTTTTGTAGTTCTATGTTGGCCAGTGTGGTTCTCAATCAGAGGCAACGTGTATCAGCTGTTGCTTGTTGTCTCTGATTGGGGACCATACTTAAGCAGCCAGTTTTCCCACAGTGTTTGTGGGATCTTGTTCCTGTGTAGGTTTGTGTTTTTGCACCTTTGGACGTCACGTATCGATTTGTTGTTTTTGTTAGTGTAATCATTATTTAATAAATATGTTCACCTTCCACGCTGCGCCTTGGTCCTCTGTATCCGACGATCGTGACAGAAGATCCCACCAACACTGGACCAAGCAGCGTGTCCAGGAGCCAGCGCCAGAGGTATCGCTAAAGGACATCAACCTCGACTGGGCCTGGCCCACGGGGAGGAGAGACCCCCAGAACATTTTTAGGGGGGGGCTCACGCCGTGGACGACGGGGCAGCAGGAGGCCGCGATAGAGCGGTCCAGCGGGTTTGCAGAGGAGGCCGCCAGGTTAAGGGGGCCACTGGTAACAGAGCAGAGGGAAAGTGTAGAGCACATGTGTCAAACTCATTCCACGGAGGGCCGAGTGGCTGCGGGTTTTCACTCCTCCCTTGTCCTTGATTGATGAATTAAGGTCACTAATTAGTAAGGAACTCCCCACACCTGGTTGTCTAGGGCTTAATTGAAAGGAAAAACCAAAAACCTGCAGACACTAGGCCCTCCATGGAATGAGTTTGACACCCCTGGTGTAGAGGCACGGCGAGAGGTACTGGGGTGTGTTACCAGTCCGGTCCGGCCCATTCCTGATCCCTGCGTAGGGCCAGTGGTGTGTGTCCCTAGTACGGTCCGGCCTGTTCCTGATCCTCGCATCGAGCCTGTGGTGCGCGTCGTCAGCCCGGCCCGGCCTGTTCCTGCTCCACGCACCAAGCCTATGGTGCGCATCGTCATCCCGGCCCGGCCTGTTCCTGCTCCACGCACCAAGCCTGTGGTGCGCATCGTCAGCCCGGCGGCCCGGCCTGTTCCTGCTCCACGCACCAAGCCTGTGGTGCGCGTCGTCAGCCCGGCCCGGCCTGTTCCTGCTCCACGCACCAAGCCTATGGTGCGCATCGTCAGCCCGGCCCGGCCTGTTCCTGCTCCACGCACCAAGCCTATGGTGCGCATCGTCAGCCCGGTTCGGCCTGTTCCTGCTCCCCACACCAAGCCAGTGGTGTGCGTCGTCAGTCCGGCACAGCCTGTGCCTGTTCCACCGGTGCCTGTTCCGGCACCGGTCAGCTGCTCCACGCCGGAGCTAGAGCAATCCGCTCCACCGGTGTTCAGTCCAGCTCCGGCCAGCAGGGTCAGACCGGACCAGGGGTACTTTGGGGGGTTGGAGAGGGAGTGGGAATCATGCCCGGAGCCGGATCCGCCGCCAAGGCGGAGTGCCCACCCGGTCCCTCCCCTGTGGTGTTTGGTTGGCGCGGCCGGAGTCCGCGCCTTTGGGGGGGGGGGGGGTACTGTCACGCCCTGGCTCTGGGGACTCTAGTATGTTGAGCCAGGGTGTGAGTTTTCATTTGTTTTTCGTTCTAGTTTTGTAGTTCTATGTTGGCCAGTGTGGTTCTCAATCAGAGGCAACGTGTATCAGCTGTTGCTTGTTGTCTCTGATTGGGAACCATACTTAAGCAGCCAGTTTTCCCACAGTGTTTGTGGGATCTTGTTCCTGTGTAGGTTTGTGTTTTTGCACCTTTGGACGTCACGTATCGATTTGTTGTTTTTGTTCGTGTAATCATTATTTAATAAATATGTTCACCTTCCACGCTGCGCCTTGGTCCTCTGTATCCGACGATCGTGACAAGCTTCAGCTGGCCCACCAACAACTGAGATTTTTAATCCACCGTTTCAACTTCCCCTTTTGTCCCTCTTTCCTATAAATGTAATAATAGAATACAGAGTATGCAGCAAGGTCAGAGGTCAATCAAAAAGTCAATCTGCCCATAAACTGTAAGTGTGTGTCAGCATTGTTATATAATGGAGAAAAAGAGGAAGAGAGAGAGTCCCCACCAAACTAGACTGACTGATTGAGCTGGAGGAAGTACTTGTGGCCATGTTGCAGGGCTCATCTGGGTCTGCCCGGTTCTCCCCGGTTCTGACTGGAGTGACCTCTCTGGCTGAGGGGCACAGCTGCTCCCCATGTCCCCCCTCCCCTTCTCATCTGCCTCACACCCACTCCTCTCAAACACACTCACATAACTCATCACTATCAGACCAGACCAGACCAGTATCCTCCAGCACCCTACTCTGCACGGACTGCACCGTAAAGCCCTCCCACCCCTTCACAGCAGAGTAGACCAGCACTAAGTGAATACACATGGGTTGTACTCAGGAGAAAACTCCCAATTCATTTATCACCACTGGTTAGTCAGATTGTAGGCTCCATAGAGAGAGAGGAACTGGTTGACTGTAAATGGAGGCATGGTGTAGTTTGTTGTATGAGTACTATGAAGCGCCACTTTGAAATGTTCAGAGTGTGTTCTTATATCCAATGACTCAGAGTGTTAGCCAATGTCTGAATGTGTGTGTGTGTGTGTGTTTCTGTGTTGTACAGGTCAGGTCATCCTGCCAGCCCCTCTGCTGCTGCCCTCTGGGGACACACACCTTCTCCACACTGGCAAGTCACTCAACCTCACCTGCAGGTATGATACACACATACACACACACACAGAACCAACAGATTTCAATGTCAAGTTCCCCAACAGAAAATGTTTTAACTTAATCTATAGTGCCCATCACAAGGGTCAAGAGTTGTTCCTGACCACACAAGTTTTTCTTGGTCAGGTCATATAGACAGAAAAAAAGGGGGGAATGGCTGTTAAAATGTGGCATTCATTTTGATGATAAAGGTAGAGGAAAGAATCTGAACTCCCTGGCAAGGCTTTCATCAAAAATGCAACAGGTTCATTCCAACCCCCTCCCCTGTTATTCATTAGATCAGGGTCAGTCAGGAGGTGAGCCCTGGTCCTGCTCCAGTTGATGGCTGTTCTCTGGACTATCACTGAAGTAATAAAGGCCCAGGCTCTGATCTGGCCCCGTTAGACAGCTAGGCCAGGATAAAGAGAAGAGAGAGTATATGAAAAGGAAAGGACTGCAGGAGCATCAGACCACAGAGGCAGATAGGCAGTGACTCTCCCAGCCAGGAACCAGTGTGGTCCCCATTTATCAATCTGTTCCAATTTCCTCCGGGGGGCCGGTGGGACCCCTGTTTGTCTGAAGTGCACACATTTGTTAAGCGTTTAGAGAGCCTTGCATCATTTTCTAGGCATGCCAGGAATGCTAACCCCTGTGGCCCTAATGCAACGCTTCCCTACAAGGTCATGTGCTAAAGAGGCCCCGGACGATAACTGTCTATGGTTTCTGGCCTCTGGATGAGAGTTTGAAGTTGCTTGACCCCAGGCAATGTAGGCAGAGGCAGTGGTATGCAGTGAGACATGTTTCAAGTTCCACCGGGATCGCTTTTAATGGGACCTTAAAAACTGACACTGTTTGGAAATCATGTGTTATTTGAACACATCATCCCACAGATCCCAGCCATGTTCCCATGTGAAAGTCCCAGTTATCAAGATGACTCCAGATTATTGGAACAGCCTTCAAACACTTCCAAATAAACATAATTTGAGAGGTCCTGAGGGGAGGGGCTGGCAACCGGAACAAAATGGTGTGACACTGGAAAAATAAATCCCACAGAATAATTACTGCAAACTATTCACCTCTTTCTTCTTCTGAGAATATCCACTATCAACGTCAAGTCAGGTCAAAGCCAGTATTTAAGACTGATTTCAATGTCAATTCTATATCCAAATAATACTGAGATAGAATCTTGGGAGCTGGTGCCTGTGCCCTATAAATCAGGTGAGAGAATGAAGTTGTTTGACCTGGTGATGACATGCTGACCTGAAGGTGACGACCCAGAGCTCTAGGGGTTGCAGGAGGGTAATACGATATTGATGATGCAGGTGGTCTGGCTGACCCTTTCAGACGGACCCTCTTAACTTTGTCGCTTGACTTAGAGGTTGCCCTTAACCACAGAGCTACAATCAGATGTCCCTATCTTCAATCTAAATCTTAACCATTAGGGATAGTAAATAATATATCCTCCTGTATCAGTTCTTAGGGCTAACTTCTGCTGTCTTTATCAGAGGTGCGGCCCAGCTGCACTGGAGGCTGCCCTGGCGGGACGTCACCTCGGAGGGGGTGCGTGTGGAGGAGTGTGAGCCCCGGGTGAACGGCCACTGCAGTAAGCTACTGGTGAGAAACCTGAGCCCCAACGACACGGGGTTCTACAGCTGCAGGTACGCCCAGCCCTCCGCCGACATCAGCTCTACCTACGTATACGTCAAAGGTGAGACCCGCTTTATACTGTTCAGACATTGTAACAATGATGGTATAGCATCTTTCATACATACAATACCGTATTTGCAGCCCAAATTGCTTTACATGTGTACGCTGACAGAGTAGATCATCATTGTTGAGTTCTATAATGGCATCCCATGAAGTCCATTGAAATCCAGCGTGTGAAAATGGAAATGAAAAGGATCTCGCTTTGTGATTAAATCAATTGTTGGATTCTGTTAACTTTAACGCCAATATATGAGTATATGTAGAGAGGGGGGGAGTTTAGTCCAAGCCAGGCAGAAGGAGTTGTGCTTCTAACAGAGAGAGCAAGGCTTTCCTCCGCTGCCCGTCTCCTTCTGGAACAGGGAAGGAGAGTGTGATTGCATCGGAAGCCCTGGTCATTGACTATTATTTCCTGCTCCCTCCGGCTTCTGTTTTTCCAGTCAGTCTCTCCTGGAGCCTCTCACGATACCAGCTATGGTCTCTCCCATGTTACAGGCCTAGTCCTCCCTTAATAACGTGAATATTTGGCTCTACTCAGTGAGAGCAATGCAGGACAACACTAAATACCTTAAAACATTGTCATAGTTGAGATTGACATCAGTGTCCCTTTAAAAATCTTAGTCTTAGTCTGAGGGACTGTGGTGGGGATACGTCTCATGGAATATCTGGGAAGAGAGAGATAAGAATGCCAAGCCTGATCAATAACCTTTTCTGGAAGAAACAAACAGTGAGGTCCTTTCTATCTCTCCAGGACATATTTCTATCCAGGACATATTTCTGTCCAAGACACATTTCTCTCCAGGACATATCTTTCTCCAGGACATATTTCTGTCCAGGACACATTTCTCTCCAGGACATATTTCTCTCCAAGACATATTTCTATCCAGGACATATTTCTGTCCAGGACACATTTCTCTCCAGGACATATTTCTCTCCAGGACATATTTCTCTCCAGGACATATTTCTGTCCAGGACACATTTCTCTCCAGGACATATTTCTATCCAGGACATATTTCTGTCCAAGACACATTTCTCTCCAGGACATATTTTTCTCCAGGACATATTTCTGTCCAGGACACATTTCTCTCCAGGACATATTTCTCTCCAGGACATATTTCTCTCCAGGACATATTTCTTTCCAGGACACATTTCTCTCCAGGACATATTTCTCTCCAGGACACATTTCTCTACAGGACATATTTCTCTCCAGGACATATTTCTGTCTAGGACATATTTCTCACCAGGACATATTTCTGTCTAGGACATATTTCTGTCCAGGACATATTTCTCTCCAGGACATATTTCTGTCCAGGACATATTTCTGTCCAGGACACATTTCTCTCCAGGACATATTTCTGTCCAGCTCCTGTGATGTGCGTGCACTACTTTTTCTTCATGTCTGGCCTTCAGAACAGATGCTGATATTCATGGCCAAAGCAAAATTGTGCCGCAGAAAAGCACTGGACTCCTTAGATTGAGTGTGTTCCTACTGAGGTCCTAGTCTGACTCCCTGGCTGTTCTCTCTGCCTCCCCTGGCGATCTGACAGCCTGGTAGCTAAATGTTTAGTCTAACCAGGACTCTTTCAAAGCCCTTCAACTGTTTATTAGATCATTTTCCCTGTTTGTTTTTCAAGTACGTGTCCCTTTATCATGCCTAAACAGCTCAGCCTGGCACAAATCACTCAAGTATTTGTGTAACCACGGTTCCCACAGCAGGTCTGCGAAGGAACAGCCAGTCAGAGAGTCATTGGATGCATACCCTGGTGAGAAACACTGGAGCTGTGATAGCTATGATAGCTCCATCTCCACGCTGTTTCTTTATCCAGAGCTGCATCTAGCAGGAGGAGCAGGAGGGGGTTTGGAGAAGGAGCAGATCTCACTGGTCTGGAAGATTCTATTTGATCTCTGTGTGAGATGGATGGCCTGACAGTACCCTGACTATGAAAATATTCTCCCCTGCTTCACTTTAGGCTGAGGACCACAACAATAATGTTGTTAAATTAAAAGAGATTAAAAAGGTATGACCTTAAATAATAATTGTTATTTTCTGATTTGTTCTACAGATAAAAAACATCCGTTTGTGGAGAACCATTTCCGCAATCCATACACCCTGTTTACCTACAGACATGAGGCCACCCTAGTGATTCCCTGTAGAACAACTTCTCCTGACCAGATCGTCACTCTTGAAGCAGTAAGACTTTTCATGATAATTTATTTATGTATCTTAAAACGTCATTTGAAATGGGCATATCATTCACATTGTCTTTCAAAAGAGAGCAAATGTTAGCATTTATTATGAGACTTATCAATGTTGACCAGTTGTACACGCTTTGAGATAGTATGGGCATGAGATTGATTACTTTACCAGAGTGTACCTTGACATTGTCTGAAAGACGTCACTAAAGTGAAGATCACAAAGAGACATGGTAAACAGGCCCTGTGCACCATGGATGTCTTAGGAGTTCTCACACCCATCAAACGGTAAGCCACTCAAGCATGCGGAAACGGCCGGGAGACAGTGGCCACAGAGAAGGGAGGCTCAGGGGCAGCAGAGGGAGTCATCCTGTCTGCTTCCTGTTAAGAACAGGAAGGTCCTCCAAGACTGTTTTTCCTTAGAATAGAATCTCTCTCTAAATATAGAAGACCTCCTGTTTTAAACATCTTGTCCAGGAAATGCGGATCTAAAAAACAATCCATATCCAATCAGAGGAAACAATAGGCCGATGATGCTCCTGGGGATAGTTAAGTGGTTTTTAATACAATTATATCAGGAGGAAATCTCTCTCTATGTGACCAAGCTCCTTGTCTTATTGCAGTAGCCTTTAACACGAGGCGGCACTTCCTATAAATCATGTGCAACAAAAGAGCCACTCTTTTGCATCATGTAGCAAAAGAGTGGCGCTTTTGCTACATGATGCCACAGCTCAGAGCCGCCATCCTCAACAATAGATGGCTGTGTTTGTATTCACAGGGTTGATATATAGCTGTGTGTTACAATGCCTTGGACATGGACAAACACGTCTTATTCAGAGGGCAAAGATAGTGGGTTGTGTGACCTTGCTACTGGAAGATATATGGCATTTCTCCTTCCTCCCTGCTTCCTTCCTTTCCCTCTCTCTCCTAGCAGCATAACACTTGGCTGGAGAACAAACAACCGCAGGAGTAGGCCTTGGCCACATCCATCCATTTCTTCCTTTGTTCAAAGTCAACAGTGCTCTGCGCATCGCTGCGTGGATAATTGCGATGGTTACACTCCATAAAACTGTAAAAGGGAATTAGACGTCAGTTCTAACGGGCAGGCATCGCCAGCTGAGCTCATTGGAGCGTGGAGTTTCATACCAAACCCAGTTGCCCACATCGTAGTGCTTTTAAAGACTGCAGAACTAGAAGCTCCACTAAACATATAAGCCCCTTCATAAACACCTTTCTACCTGTCTCTTCTTTCAGCAGCCACCCTTATCAGAGAAGATTGAACAAGGGAAGGAATGGGACCCCAAAATGGGCTTCAAGATCCCATATGGCCCTCACGAATACTATAGTCTCCTGACCTGTGTCACCAGCGTCAACGGCCAACGGGTCCAGTCCCACTACATCCCTCTGAGGAAAAGTGAGTCACTTCTCCTTTTCTTATTGAGCTCTAAGAGAGACAAGTTGATTCACTGAGTCTTCCCTTCTAACGCTGATTGCATAGCTATCTACCTGAGGAACGTGAAGATCAACCCAGAACGTATCAAGCTGTTAGTGGGAGATAGCCTGGTCCTCAACTGCTCCGCAGAGACCACCTTCAATGGAAGGATCAACTTGACTTGGGAATACCCAAAGAGGATGGTAAGTTCTAAGTCACTGAACATCATTTAAGATTACTGGTCGATGAATCCGCTGTTTCGGGGTTGTTGATGAGTGCCTTTGCGTCCCCAGGTCAATCGGAACCCCACCGTCAACAAGACCAGAGAGAATCCGGCTTCGGTCACCAGGATGTACAAAGCCATCACCTTGTCCAACATCACCATGGACGACAGGGGCACGTACAGGTGCACGGCTGAGATAGGGAACTCTGAGATGGGGAACAAGAATCATGCCTCAGCGAAGGTCACCATCTATGGTGGGTCAGTGTGTTAGGAACTGGTACTGCGTGAAGGCAAGGTCTCACTGAGCTAAGGCAGAGGCAGACATAACTCCATCGTAAGCTTAATCTTGGGCAACCATTGTGTGATCAAGCATTAAGGCCAGAGAGGGTGTGGTATATGGCCAATATACCATGGCTAAGGGCTGTTCATATGCACAACGCAACGCGGAGTGCCTGGATACAGCCCTTAGCCGTGGTATATTGGCCATATATCACAAACCCCAGAGGTGCCGTATTGCTATTATAAACTGGTTATCAATGTAATTAGAGCGTTCAAAATAAAAAAATTGTCATACCCGTGGTTTACGGTCTGATATACCACGGCTGTCAGTCAATCAGCATTCAGTGCTCAAACCACCCAGTTTATAATCTCATTTATAATACATTTATAGTGTTGTTTTTCAACAGTCGTTTTCATGCTCTCGCCATTGGTCTTCTTCTGTGTGATTTCAGAACATCCATACCTGAATGTGTCCTATAAGAATGAACGGGCCAGGAGAGTGGTCTACACAGAAGGTAGAAGCAAGCTGATGTTTGAACCCAAGGTCAATGCACTGCCACCACCCAACACTATGACATGGTAAGACTGAGTTCAGCTGTTGGGACTAGTCACTGCATGTATTGTCAACCCTTGCTGAATATAATGCACTAAACTGGAGCTTACAAGTGTTTGATTTGGGACGTAGAGTTGCTGATTTATTATCATCACAACTTTCATATCAGTATGTTACGATTTGCTGAACATCTAAAGTAAATGTGGATGTATCCCGTTCCCAGGTATAAGGATGGCATCCCCATCAACGAGAACTCCACCTGTTACGAGTCTTCAGGCTACAACCTCCTCGTCAAGGACGTGAAGCAGAAGGATGCCGGGGTCTTCACCATCGCCCTGGGCAACAAGGAGAGAGGCCTCTACAGGAATCTCAGCTACACTCTGGTAGTCCGAGGTAAAGCTGATATCCCCATGATATCCCGTCCTATATCCTGTCCTTTATCCCTCCAAATGACTGGCGATCCTGAGGAAATGAAGCAATGCCCTGGACTTTGGGCCTCCGCATTTCGAACAGCCTCAGTACTTTGGGTTGTACCCCCTGGTTGGTGCAGGGCTGCAGGCAGCAGCCCCTCCAGTATGACAGGAATCTGGGGGCTTGTGGGGTTTGTTGTTTCCAGCGGTGGATTGACGTTGCCGGGCCAGCTGGTGTTGATTAGCCAGGCTCTTTTTGAAGGGGCTTCGCGGGTTGTGTAAACGACCCTGTCTCTCCACTCTATCCCCCTCTAGACCTAACCCTTTATTCACATCATGTGAATGTAGCCTACAGCACCGCTCATGGAAACAACAGTGTTCTGTACATGATATAGGGCTTTATGTGTACTCTATATATTTAGCAACGCATTTGAAACAAATCTAATGTAATGATTGCCATGTAAATAATGATGGTCATTAACACTAGCGGTTATAAACGTGGTCGGTTATGTTATGGGGCTTTGATAGTGTGTTGGATGGAGAGTCGGGGAGTGCAATCTGCTTGCCGTTAAGAACTCTGTTGAGCAACACATGTGCCACTCAGATACTACTCCCAAGTTGTCGATGGGGGCCAAAAGAATGCATCGCAAAGTATTCCATTCCATTCCGTTCCCTGCACATTATCCAAGAATCCCCCTGCTGTGCCAAATTGTAAAGGTCAGCCCCCTTCTCGCCCATATAAATTGTATTTATGGTCCCTCACTTTCCCATTTGCTCCACGCATCATTATTATTGGAATGACAAAAAAAATACACACTCTCACAGACACAAACAATGGAAGGAGAAATCAAGGACATTCCTGGGAACAGTTATGGAACTATTTTAGTCATCGTTCATCAAGCGTTTGAAGTCCAGCTCCAGTGTTCCAGATCTCAAATGGATTCAGCAGCCGGGGCTTGAACTGAGGACATTGCTGAGAGAAACCATGTCACGACTTTGCACACGCACACACACACACACACACACACACACACACACACACACACACACACACACACACACTGACTGACTGGTGGAGAATGATTAACTGATGTGAGCAGAGCATTCCTCTTGAGGTGGCATCCAGTCAGAAAGTCTGTCAGTCTGGTGTTGATTACTGCTGTGCTCTCCCACACTGCTGATCCACTGACCTGGGACAGGGCATAGGGCCACATCTGGCCCAAAGGCAGCTGGGTAGAGACCGGGCCAGGCTCTGAGACACTGACACCCTGATGTGATGGACAACCCCAGGGTATCAGGGCTATGCAATCACTCAACCCTTTTCAAGCACTTCACAGCCGACTCTCAGAGGTTAGAAGACAACTGGTGTCCATGGGACCTTTTCCATGGTTATTCATCACGATGACAAACCTCTCTCTCATTATAAAGACATTATTACCGCCAATAGCCAGGTGTAAAAGTTGATGCAACAGTGTCTGATCTCTTTGTCTGTATGTGTGTGTGTGTGTGTCTCTCCCACAGTGAGGCCTATGATCTCAGAAGAGGAGGTGGCCTCGGTGGACCTGCAGCCCTACATGTTCGGCAAGCAGCACCAGCTAACCTGCACCGCCTTTGGAGTGCCCATGCCCGTCATCACGTGGCTCTGGCAACCATGCCATCCTGACCCCACCGACAAAGAGTGAGTCACTAACAAAGAGTGTGCCATCCTAGCCTGTTTATCCTGGGCAATCCAAGTGGTTATATTAACTAAGTCGTTAACTAAACTGTGAAGACCATTTTCTTTATGTTTCACCTACTGTGTCAGTGCCTTTGAACCTTCCAGTAACTTTCAGAAATTCTGTGTTCTGCACTTCTTGTTTTAAGTTTTCACAATGTTCCTTCATTGGTAATGTACTTCAATTTGTTCTGTTGTTTACTGTAAACCATAAGAATATGTTAGAGCTGCGTAGGATCAATATCCTGCACAACCATAAGGCACCACTTCCAGGAAACAAAGCGTTCAATTCAGAACTGTGATGAAGTCGTATATTTTTTCTCGAACACCCAGTCTATGAATCAAAATGTTCTGAGTCACCAGGACCATCTGACTACAGTTTGGAATGAGAAACTACCGGATCACGGGGAGGGTCATGTGTTCTCTCATCCTGAGGTCATTGCGCAGTTCTAGTTATATCTGTAACATAGAGTGGGTGTTCTGAGTTTATTGGTTTGGTTCTTGGAAGTGCAATACATTCATACTTCTACGTATCTTCCATATGTCCACACAGACCCTGAGATTTATTGTCCTATCTCTGGTCTGTATGAATGGACATGATTGGTGAAGCAGACCAGCATTGTCCCTGCCAGTGCACATCCTGGTTATGTTTTGGATGCGTGTTTAGGTTTGTTAACCCTCTGCGGGGTCGGTACCAAGCGGATGCATCCAGTTTTTAGGTGAAATGGAAAGAGAGCCTTTTACGCGACTTCTGCTAATGGATGTTAACAAGGCGACACTCCATCTTAACTCCTCCTCCACATTTACTGGATTGGTTCAACAGTGCAGAAGAGAACCTCCCCCGGCAGTCTATCTTTTACGCCTGCTATGTTACATTCGGGTTTGTTGATGCTGAGCTCAGCTGTCATAGTATTGGAACTGAATCATACACACACACACACGCAGTCTGTGAGTCTGGAGTCCAGAACCACCGGGCTAGCCCGAGGCTCCCTCTCCAAAAACAGGCCTGCATCTATTTAATTGACTCTGTCCCAAAATACAGACATTTATCAAAGAAATGCAGCCCCGGAGAATTCCCCACTCGTTTGTGGCCAGTGGCTCTTTGGGCAGGGAGAGATAATATATTAGTCTCAGACTCCCCAAGCTTTTATAGAGCTGAACGGGACAGAATGTGTGGTATGGGCGTGAATGTCGACCTGCTAGGGAACCTTCATAAACAACATGAACAATTTATAAGACAGTTCGTATTTGATTAATGATGGTCGGCCCCACCTATGTGAAGCTAGCCACAATAGGGATTACCCACAATAGTGGCATTTGCGGTTCGCCTTCAAAGTAAAAGTCCCTCTTTGAAAGTGAAGCGAATGGATATAGATAGTGGAATCATGCCATATTTAGACTAGATAATGCTAAACAAGGTTGGAGTGTTGGTATGTGGAGCAATGGAATTGGTTATCAGTCTACTCAGTGACATCCACAGAACACAACTGTGAAGAGTTTGCACAAATATTAGTGTCTTAGCTCTTATTGCGGGACTTTGACTGTGGGAAGTCACCTCTCTAGTCACCCTACTGTGAGTATTGACATTCATATTGCACTGTACAGTCTTACATAAGGATTGGGGGTCAATGAAATGGGGTATTGTCAGTGAAATGGGGTATCAGTCTACTCGGTACCCAAGTGCTCCTCCTCAGAGTTCTCAGACTCCAAAACATCCACGTTGTATTGTTTTTCCTCTGGAATAGTGTTCAATACACATAGTAGGTTGACTGGTACAATAAATGTTGGTCATTTCACAGGGGTTTCAGAGTCCTGCAATCAGAGCTACAATGCTAATATTTGTGTAATCTCTTCGCAGTTGTGTTCTGTGGGTATCACTGATGGTACCCCATGTCATTGATCCACAATCCATTGGTAAGGCTGTACAGTGGATTACAATGGCGCCCGGAGGGGATGGCTGCCGTTTTATGGGCTCTTAACCAACTGTGCTATTTTGTTTTTGTTTTCGCATTGTTTGTAACTTATTTTGTACATAATGTTGCTGCTACCGTCTCTTATGACCGAAAGAGCTTCTGGACATCAGAATACCTTGAACTGGACTAATAATTTTTCTTTAATGAGTCAGACAAGAGGGATTTTCTCCAGACACCCGACAGGGCCCTCATCCCCGTCATTCGCAGTAGAAAGAGACAGAGATATCGCGGAAGGAGATCGGGGTGCCTGGTAAGGAGCCGGCGACGAGTGGTTAATCTGCCTTTGCCATCAGTACTATTGGCCAACGTACAATCGCTTGCTAATAAAGTGGACAAACTACAAGCACGTATATCCTACCAACGGGACATTAAAAACTGTAATGTTTCACCGAGTCGTGGCTGAACGACGACATGAATAACATACAGCTGGCGGGTTATACACTGTATCGGCAGGATAAAACAGCATCTGTTAAGACAAGGGGTGGAGGTCTATGTATATTTGTAAACAACAGCTGGTGCACGATATCTAAGGAAGTCTCAAGGTTTTGCTGAGGTAGAGTATCTCATGATAAGTTGTAGACCACACTATCTACCAAGAGAGGTTTCATCTATATTCTTCATAGCTGTCTATTTACCACCACAAACCGATGCTGGCACTAAGACCACACTCAATGAGCTGTATACGGCCATAAGCAAACAGGAAAACGCTCATCCAGAGGCGGTGCTCCTAGTGGCCGGGGACTTTAATGCAGGAAAACTTAAATCAGTTTTACCTCATTTCTACCAGCATGTTAAATTTGCACCCAGAGGGAAAAAAACTCTAGACCACCTTTACTCCACACACAGAGACGCGAACAAAGCTCTCCCTCGCCCTCCATTTGGCAAATCTGACCATAATTCTATCCTCCTGATTCCTGCTTACAAGCAAAAACTAAAGCAGGAAGCACCAGTGACTCGGTCAGTAAAAAAGTGGTCAGATGAAGCAGATGCTAAATATTTATAGAGCTGAACGGGACAGAGCGTGTGGTGGGCGGCTAGTGAACCTTCATAAACAACATGAACATTCCCTGAGAGCCAGAGCTGCCAGACCCCCGTCAGTGACAGCAGGGGTCCTTTCTGAGGCGTAAGATCAGGCAAACAATGGGCCATTACCGCGGGGTTATCAGGTGTTGGTTATCAGGACCCAACACCGCTAGAAAAACACGGCTCGGGACAGCCTCACACTGGAGGGCCTAAATTATGTTACACTGCAGGCGCTGTAACTTGACAAAGGTTTCTGTTAATTATCCATCATTATTGGTTAAAAAAACCACTCCTGGTTGCCAAATTTGTGACAGAAATTATGGTGGAGGGTCAAGCTGTGTCAAAGTGCCCCATTTCTGAAGCCCTAAAGATAATCAGCTCTGGCACTGGAAAAAGTGGCTCATAAACGTTTGAAGCTGAAAAGGGCCTGTTTTTTCAACAGCTAATGAGGGAGGTGCATCAAACAGAGATTTCAGCTCAGGCCATCCACAGCCTGGTTGGAGGCAGATTGAGCCAAATGTTTGACAGTTCAGACCCCCTTCAAGGACTTGTCACGGCAAATTGACTACTTACCATTTCAGGATCAGACCTCGTATAAATCACAGTCCCCTTGTGGTTGGGGAAGCGTAACGTCTCAGATAGCAGTTGGGGGCAAAAGAAAAAGGGATGGGAGAGGTGAAGGAGGCAGGAAGGGTTCTTTCGTTATCAGCAGCAGGGTAAGAAGGTATCAGCTGTCCCTTTTTTGACCAACCAAGGTCTGGGGATTAGCCTTATCTCCTCTAGTCAGGGAGTGAGGGGGTTTCCTGTGTGAGGTAACGCATAGCACGGCCCTTCCTGTCACGCTGCCATTTCCTCCTGCCTCCCAGCCTGCCTGGCCTGGCTGCCTCACTCCTCATCAGCCTGATTGTTCCCCTCAGTAGGCAGGAGGAAAGCGAGGAGAGGAGGAGAGGCTGGCTGGTTTTTGTCTGGTTTAACAAGCCTAGGCAGCCTGGGATATAGCCCGCCCTAAAAGGCCACACAAAAGCTATGATGTTAGTCAGAGCCTCATAAGGCTAAATGCCTGCCCGTTCAGAGCGACACATTGTCAAACTGTTTGGACCGCATTCGCTGGTCCATAGTGTCATTTCTGGTTCCAATTAATGAAATATAGGAAAGGATGACATGTCCACACGGCATTCTGCTCTAGTAGTCTCCTGTTTTGTCCACTGTTCTGTACTAATTTTCTAAACTGACTTTATACGTTAGGTAACCTGCAGCCTTTTCATCTAGTTCAGTAATCACTGGTTTCCTCTTTCCCATAGGTGTACCCTTTACACTGAGCCAATCCCAGTTCAAATGGACGATAAGGGGAACTACTCACACAACTGGATTGAGAGCATAGACAACAAAACTGAACTGGTGAAAGGAAAGAACAAGGTATGCTTATAGTATAGTTTTGTTCTCATTAGATTTGTTATAGACTCAGAGAAACTGACACTTCTTAACGTTGCACAACATAGAACAATGATTCATGCATGTGTTCTTGTCATATATGATGCATGTTTGATACTGAGCAGAAATGTCCATGACAAAAGAGTGCTTTGTGTTGGGCAATACAACAATTACTTCAAGATTTATATGAAAAAGGGATCTAGATGAAATGTCCGGATAGAGAGAGAGAGCACTCTGAGAGATTAACACTGAAGTGGGATTCCCTATGATCGTTCTCTTTGAGACGCCAACATCTGAAAACAATAAATCTACATCTTCATAATCCGCCTTAATATTTCACTGTTTTAGAATGATTCATTCTATCTGCATCAATATAGACTTATGTAACTGTAGCCAAAAGTTAATGAAGGAACATCAATATGCATTTATAATTGTTTTATTTTATTGTAGCCTTTATTTTTAGTCATACTGAGACCAAGGTTTTTTTTTTACAGATGAGCCCTGAATTACATACAGTGCATTCGGAAAGTATTCAGACCCCTTCCCTTTTTCCACATTTTGTTATGTTACAGCCTTATTCTAAAATGGACTAAATAAAAATGTTCCTCATCAATCTACACACAATATCCCATAATGACAAAGCGAAAACAGGTTCTTAGAAATGTTTGCAAATGTATTAAAAATAAAGAAACCGTATTCAGACCCTTTGCTATGAGTCTTGAAATTGAGCTCAGGTGCATCCTGTTTTCATTTATCATTCTTGAGTTGTTTCTACAACTTGATTGGAGTCCACCTATGGTAAATTAAATTGATTGGAGATGATTTGGAAAGGCAGACGCCTGTCTATATAAGGTCGCTCAGTTGACAGTGCATGTCAAAGCAAAAACCAAGCCATGAGGTCAAAGGAATTGTCCGTAGAGCTCCGAGACAGGATTGTGTCGAGGCACATGATCTGGGGAAGGGTACCAAAACATTTATGCAGCATTGAAGGTCCGCAAGAACACACTGGCCTCCATCATTCTTAAATGGAAGAAGTTTGGAATCACCAAGACTCTTACTAGAGCTGGCCGCCTGGCCAAACTGAGTAATTGGGGAGAAGGGCCTTGGTCAGGGAGGTGACCAAGAACCCAATGGTCACTCTGACAGAGCTCCAGAGTTCCTCTGGGGAGATGGGAGAACCTTCCAGAAGGACAACCATCTCTGCAGCACTCCACCAATCAGGCCTTTACGGTAGAGTGGCCAGACAGAAGCCACTCCCCAGTAAAAGGCAAATGACAGCCCGCTTTGAGTTTGACAAAAGGCACCTAAAGGACTCTCAGACCATGAGAAACAAGATTCTCTGGTCTGATGAAACCAAGATTGAACTCTTCACCATCCCTACGGTGAAGCATGTTGGTGGCAGCATCATGCTGTGGGGATGTTTTTCAGCGGCAGGGACTGGGAGACTAGTCAGGATCGAGGGAAAGATGAACGGAGCAAAGTACAGAGAGATCCTTGATGAAAACCTACTCCAGAGCACTCAGGACCTCAGAATGGGGCAAAGGTTCACCTTCCAACAGGACAACGACCCTAAGCACACAGGCAAGACAATGCAGGAGTGGCTTCGGGACAAGTCTCTGAATGTCCTTGAGTGGCCCAACCAGAGCCCGGACTTGAACCTGATCAAACATCTCCGGAGATACCTGAAAATAGCTGTGCAGTGACACTCCCCATATCCAACCTGACAGAGCTTGAGACGATCTGCAGAGAAGAATGGGAGAAACTCCCCAAATACAGGTGTGCCAAGCTTGTAGCGTCATACCCAAGAAGACTTGAGGCTGTAATCGCTGCCAAAGGTGCTTCAACAAAGTACTGAGTAAAGGGTCTGAATATTTTTGTAAATATATATATATAGATATTTTTATACATTTGCAAAAATGTCTAAAAACCATTTTTTTCTTTGTAATTATGGGGTATTGTGTGTAGATTGATGGGGGGGGGGGGGCAATTTAATACATTTTAGATTAAGGCTGTAACATAACAAAATGTGGAAAAAGTCAAGATATCTGAATACTTTCCGAATGCACTGTAAATGACAGAAAATAGACAAATCAATATAAATACAAAATGCAAGCCGAAAGAAAAACACGGTCATAAAAAACAAACACATTCATCAGTAGTAAGGTCCTCAATTACTTTCTGAATTGCCCTAGATGCACCAAAACATCAAATTTAAGAATGTTTTGAAGATTGTTCCACAAATAATGTGCAAGAAAACTAAAAGCTGATTTACTTAACACAGTAGAGACCAAAGGAATTTCCAGAGTTAGCCATTGCTGAGACCAGGTGTGGTAACTTGTATGTTTAAAGTTTAGTAATGATGTTAGGTACAGTGGGAGTTTTTGTAAAATGGCTTTATAAATGAAAACATAGAAATGTATCAACCTACGTGACATCAAAGAGGGCCAACCAACTTTCTGGTAGGAACGTCGACTGAATAATCTGCTTTCTACTATTTAGCGAGAGGCAGGACCTATTTCTATAGAAGAAGCCCATTTTTATTCTCAGCTTCTTAACTAACTCATCAGTCTGCTTTTTAAAAGACAGCTTTTTATTTATCTAGATGCCCAGATATTTGTAAGCACGGACACGATCAATATGGACACCATCCAAAGTACATATGCTTAAATCATCAGTTATTTTATGCGCACTAGAGAACAACATATACTTAGTTTTACCTGCGTTCAATACTAATTTCAGGTCAATTATGTTTTCTGTAATACAATGGAGGCAGACTGTAGTTCAGATAGAGCCTGGTCAACCGAGGGGGCAATAGCATACACAACAGTATCATCGGCATACAAGTGCAGGTTACCATTTTTTACTGACAAGTCGATATTGTTAATGTAAACAGTAAAAAGTACAGGACCCAGAATCGACCCCTGCGGGAACACCTTTCGTAATATCCAGGAAACCTAATTTAACACCATCATTAGATACACATTGAATTCTTTCTGTCAAGTAATTTTTAAACCAGTTACATGCAGCCTGGTCTAGGCCAATTAAGGAAAGCCTCTGAATTAGCAGTGAGGGATCAATAGTATCGAAAGCCTTTCAAATGAAATCCAAATAAAATCAGATTTTATTGGTCACATACACATATTTAGCAGATTTTATTGCGGGTGTAGCGAAATGCTTGTGTTCCTAGCTCCAACAGGTCAATGAAGAGGGCAGCACAATGTTGCCTTTCATCCATACAGTTAACCACATCATTTATAACTAGGGATGCAGCAGATATAGTGCTATGATCTGGTCTAAAACCTGACATGTACATTTAGAATGCATTTCAAAGATAAGGATGATCTTAGCTGAGAATTAATCAAGGATTCTAATATTTTAGCTAGGCAAGAAAGTTTAGAAATAGGGCACAAGGGTCAATAGTGAAATAATGACATATAGTACAGTACAGTACATCGTAAATACAGTTAATTTATACATTGTTGTATAAATACAGTATGTACAGGGGGAAAGCAATATATGGTAAAGGACATTTGCTGTATGTCAGTAGGCATATTTATGACAAGGAATCCCACTTTATTGTTTATGCTGCCGTAACTGCCAGGTATTTATAAGCAACTCACCAGTCTTTTCATATACAGTCAGCAACAAACAGACTGTCAAATCTGTCATGATTTGCTTTTGATTAAAAGAAGCCCCTTAGCCTTCAATTACAGTCAAAGCAAGTCGAGCGCCAGAACTGCCATGATGAAAAAGCATTTTGGCTTTCTTCAGGGCTGCTCTCGGGAATCGTTCATTCATCTGCCCTTTAACTGACAGACACTGTTCATTTCACCCTGCTGGAGTGAAAAACACCCTCAGACGAAACGCAGGTCCTTGGATCTAAAGAAGCTAGGCCTGAAGCTCCAGCCAAGGCTCTGCGTGCTCTGCCAGAGAGAAGCGTTTATTCTGACATCACTGGATCATTATCTGTTGGATCACTGAGGGCTGTGGAGCTCCGTGTAGATAGCACCATACAGCCATACGGCTCGAGCCATGCGTGTGCAGACAGCGGAGATTGGCCTTTTATAGGTTCCCTCCTAACTCCACTGACCTGTGAAGATCAGCTGTAACATACTGGAAATATTGAAACGAAGTTTGGAAATTTGAATAATATGTTATTGTCATTGTTTTTGTCATATATCTGTATTATTACGGTATAACTAAAAATGGCCCACATCTTGGCATGCATTCCCAAAGCTGAACATTGCAGCACATGTCCTAGGGGAGCTTGTTACCAAAACCATTCACCCCAAACGTAATTAGGTGCAGGCCTCAACTGCTTTCCCCAAAAGCCTATCGGATTAGTTGAAAGACAGCCGTTCCAACACACTGGGTCAAATTGGGGCATAAATCCAGCCAGCATATAAATATTTCAACAGCACAAGCAAGCCAACCAGTGAAGAAAATACTGGTAATTAGTCGTTACCCCAACACATATGCTGGTGTAGTAAACTTTTATTAAATGGTATTTCTCCTGCTTTCCCCTAAAGGGAGATTTATGAAGGCGTTTCCCCCCTCTGATGATGCATGGTTGATGGCATTTAGAATCATACTAATAGTATACATACACACGTAGTAATAGAGAGCTTAGGCCTCATTCACTTCCAACACTACCAATCTCTGATTGACATAAATAGGGAGGCAGTCCTTATTTACAAGCGCTTGCGGCCCAAACACTGGTGCTTTATAGGGGTGAGGACTAAGGGTCAGTGATAACAAGCGGCGGTTTAAAAGAGAGGGATTTGTTGGGAGTGAATTCCTCTCTGTCACCCCGCATAAATCTCTGTGCCCCGTGAACGAGAGGAAAGTGTTGGTCAGGGCTGCAGGGCTGCAGGGCTGCAGGGCTGGCCTCAGAGGGTCACAGTGCATCTGGTCAAGTCACCACTTAGGGACAGAGTGCACTTGCTGAAACAACTGTTTTCCAGCTCAAGTTACATCATCATTAGTAATGGCCGTAACGCAACACCACACAACAACTCCATCAAAACACCTGACTAATGTCATAGCAACTCAGGGTAGACAACGTAACACAACTTTTAACAACTTTAGCTAGCTTTTCCATCCAAACATGTTTACACAGTGCACAATATGAGCTGGAACATTAAAAACGTATTGAAATGTGTCACAAACAGTCCAGTCTCATGACCAAAGCCCTGTTTCTGAGTGTCAGAGGACAATGCCGCTAGAAACCCAGGAAGTTGACACCACCTAGACAATACAGCCACAGCATTCAGCACCTTTGATGTAGCTGCTCTGAAAACAGATGTCGTTCTGAACACAAAACAGAACCCCATGCGATCTGGCCCCTTGCCCAAATCTTACTCACTATTATGTCTACTAAGCCGTTAAATGGGTTCCACTCCAATGGTGATAGAATCTAGTGTGGCATTGTAAATGCTCTTCAGGAAATGACATGGAGGGCCAGGCGCTCCTTCTGTGGACCGGTGCTGCTAGGAGAGACGCGGCGGTTTTGAAAAAGTCCAGATGTATCCTTACGTTAATGTGAACCACTCGAGAGAATGAAATGGGCAAATAACCACACAGGTGTTGATGGAAAGTCTTCTGAGGTATAATGAAGCCAACCAGAACATTTTTCATTAACCCTTATTTATACAGGTTAGTCTCATTGAGATCAAATCTATTTAGCAGGAAATACATGTACACCAGATAGGTACAACATTCGCTGGCAGTACTGTAGATCTAATGATTGGCTTATTCTCTCTCCTCCATAGACTGTGAGTACGCTAGTGGTGGGGGCAGCTAACGTCTCGGGGATCTACTCCTGCGCGGCCCAGAACGAACTTGGCACCCGCACACTGAGAACCCTTTTCTATGTGGATGGTAAGTGGGTCAACCTAATACTACACAACGTCCCCCACGTTGGTTGAAAGAACAACATTGGAGATTTTTTATACAGCATAAGGCAAAATGCTCAGATGGTTTTTATTTTTACAGGCCAGGCATACAGTATAACTGTAACATACATGACATTTTGTTTCCAATGACTTACACATATGCACTGTAATGAATCGCGAGGCAATCGCTAGAATGCACAGATTGTATTGTGCATTAAAGAGAGCTGCTCTGGTGGACATTAATTGAAACCATCTTCCTCTGGAGCAGGCAGGCTTCAGCACCGAACTGAAGAGGCAAACATGTCCTGAGCCAAATGGTACAGTCTAACAGCGCCAGTTTAAAACCAGCTCTCAGCGCACACTGTAGCGCCGGCAGGTCATTCTTCTTCTTCTAGGAGCCTGCTGCTGCGTGAATCACTTTTTATATGCATCTGAACAGTTCCAAATGTTCATGAAATGAAAATTCCATCTAGTCCAGTTGTCTCATGACAAGAGAAATCAGCAGCAGTCATCACCTTTTTTCCCTCAAAAATTAAAAACGATTTGAAGTTGAAAGCTGATTGATGATAGTTTGGAATTGGGAATGGTGGTGACGCTGTGATTGGGGACACTGCTGATGATGCCAAACTCTGAGGATCCGGATGAGAATAAGATCATTTCCAGGAAGAAGCGCTGCAATGCACCACCATTCCTGAGGTGGAGGTGACTGAGAGTGCTGGATTGCTGCTGAAAAAGAGGACGGCGGAATTGTAATAACAGCTGTCTTCTTTTATGGAACACAGAATGCATTCCAGCGCCGTCTGGCTCCCCTGAGGCCCGGCCCCCGGCCTGATTCCTAATGGACAGCTGTAGGCCGCCCATCAGCATTGCTCGCCGCACACTGCCAACGTGCTTCCAATTAACAAAGTGATGAAACAGTAAATAACTGCAAATTTGAAATTCCTGGCATGGTGATGTGCAGCTTGATGTTTTAGAGATGTTCTTTCCCAGAATAGGACAGCTTCAATCAGCTGGCTATCTCATGCTACGTGTCTTATCTCCCTGAGTGAGAGGAGAGGGTTGCTGTAACATAGATGCTCTTGTAACCCACCTACATACTGGACAATGTGTTCATGTATTGTATACTCTAACCAATACTTATGCATGATAGTTTTCCTAGGTACCCAAATGGGGTGTTCCCCCCAAAAAGATGACCTGATGTGTTTTTCCCCTCTCTCCCACCAGATCACCCTCAGCACCTGTCCATCGAGCCCCAGACTGCCATCGAGGGTGATGACGTCACTCTGACTTGCCGCGGCACTCGGTACCTGTACACAGACCTGCAGTGGTACAACCCTCAAAACTACACCGTCACCACCGCCAACGTCACGGCCCTGCAGCTCAGCCCCTACTCTATCTCTCGCTCCCTCTCCCTGCACAACGTATCCAGGAGTCACACAGCAGGCTACCAGTGCTGGGCGCGTAACCTCCACAGCAAGACAGTCATAGTCCAGACTGTGCTGACTGTGGATGGTGAGTAGGAGACAGGAGGAGCATTGCCTGCTGGGTGATCAATGAGGTCTATCAGAACAGTAATTGCTGCACCACTGTCATGTCATACGGGTGTTGCCCAACTCTTTCTAAGAATAATATGGTTGTATTACATTGCATTTCGGTAAAAGGTGCCTGTTCCTGGATATAATCACACTCAAGATTATGCAACCCAGTCGAGAGATGAGTTTGTCTGAGAAAGTCTTGAAAAGCAGAGTGATCTAATTCAGACATGTTTTTGTGGTTGACGCAGAGAGGAAGAGGCCGTGGCTGAGACAGAACCTGACCAATCAGGATGTAAACAGCAGCAGTACTCTGACTATGGCCTGCTACGCCCTGGGAGTGCCGCCACCCTACATCACCTGGTACAAAGACAACCTACCAGTACAAGAGGGTCCAGGTGAGAACTGCTGGAAATGACTCGTGATTAGGGGCCCTGAGGTTTCCATGGTCAGGCCCTACTGTATTTTTCAAACATATTAGTAATTTTCTCCAAAACTCTGCAAATAGCACTGCTGGGTGATCTGAAAAATCATAGTCAATCGATCAACAATATAATAATACTCTTAGCAAATTTACAATCTGAAGAAACTATGAGAATAGAAAGGTTCAGAACTTTTGTGAAACATCCCAGCACAGTTATAAATCAATTATAAATCAAAACTGGATGGTCTTCAGAGATAGATGGGAGGGGTTGTCCATTAGTTTACTCCAGTTAGGGGAGGAGGGGTGGTAGGGTTAGGAAAATATAATAGAGAAGGAAAATATATTTTTTTAAATACATATTTTAAATAACATATATATTTATAATATATTTATATATATATATATGGGGGATTAGAAATGATGCAGACAATTACATTGATAGAAGCCACAATCTATCTGCAAAATTAAAGTTGATCTCCATAGAATCTGAGCTGTAGACTTCATGCTATGTTCCAGGTATTACTCTGGGGGACGATGGGGTGCTGACGATCGAGAGAGTGAAGAAAGATGATGAGGGCTTGTACGAGTGTCTGGCCAGCAACAATGAGGGGAGTGTGAAAGCCAGCGCCGTCGTCACTGTCGTGGGTGAGTCACTTACCTCTTTATTTCCGTCATAATGCTCTTCATGATAATCCATGTCATGCTGGTAGCGAAACACAATGAATCTAACTACAGTACATTAACCACAACAGTGACCAAACACACCATGAACTCAACCAGCACAGCCACAGCCGGACCACTTCTTTACTGCATGACCAATCACAGCTCTTGGCCAAACTGGGCTATGTTTTCTTGTCACCAGTACAAATAGCTCTGGCCAGACTTCAATATGAAAACTCTCCACGGAGAGAGAAGCCAAGAGGCTGCCAAGAATACCCAGCGAATTCCTCCGCTGGGTTTTATGACGGGGGCTCATGGAGCTCTGAGGTCCCCACCCATGGGACGTGACCTGCAAGGAGTGTGTGAAGAGTTCCCACTAATGACTGTGGGCATGGCCAGGAGAGAAGTCCTCTCGTTAAAGAACCATGGGACTGGAAACATGATGACACAGACTGGGAGGGAGGGGGGAGGAGGAGAGGGGTGGGGGTGGGGGGGGGGGGGGGGGGGGGGGGGACAAGGTCATGCGACGGTATTCTGACAACTAGCCCTGGCACCAGACATGAATTCCTGTTCCCCTAAAAAATGTCAAATTTCCCTCAACGTCCAACCCCAGTGTCAGCACAATCCATTACATTACTAGAAGAAAATGTCCAAAATTAGGCATTACTCTATCAAAACTATTTGACAAATTCCTAAAGCTTTATGAACGTGAGCTGGCTAGGACAGTGAATGTTGAGATGGATAGTTAAGAAAAGAGCTTAATGTGCAACAACGTGGGATGCATAGCCCGAACAAACTAGGAATAAACAATGGAGGGTTTACCATTTGTCTGTTGTGTATATCCCTCATTATATTTGTTGTCAGTTATCATTTCTTATTCATTTGTCAAGAAGCATATAAAACACCCAAGGCAACAACAGTTAACAAACGGTTCCTGTGGTCTCCTTCCAGGTGATGAGGGGAAGGCCAACATTGAGGTGATCGTCCTGGTGTGTACAGGAGCTGCTGCCACCTTCCTCTGGCTCATGCTCATCCTCTTCATCCGCAAGCTGAGGAAGGTAACGAGATCTCCCTGCAATCACAGCTAGTTCTCTAGTGTCTCTCACACTTCTTGACTGTGAAGACATTAGAGAGTGTAAACTGTTAGGATACTGCACTGAGCACTTTGCTCACCATTATTCTTTTGTTACTTAGTTAATTGTACAATAGAACCACAGTGTGATGGATGATTTGAAGGAGTCAGGCGCAGGAGGGTAAATCATCAGAAAAACAGGATTTATTCCGGAATACAGAGTTACGCAGTAAAGCGTCAAAACAGTCCAGGCGCACTGGAACCAACAAGGCACACAGGGAAAATAACCCGGCGATACAAAATAAAGGAGCTCCACCGAGCTTCACTATCCTCACAATAAACAATCACACACAAAGACAAGGAGGCAGAGGGAACACTTATACAGGTACTGATGAGGGGATGTGAACCAGGTGTGTGTAATAAACAAGACAAAACCAATGGAATGATGAGATGAGGAGCGGTAGTGACTAGAAGGCCGGTGACGATGAACGCCGAAGCCTGCCCGAACAAGGAGAGGAGGCCATTTAAAAATATATTTTTTGTAACAATGTGCAGACAGCATGCTCTTCTCAAGACCTATTCAAACACCCACGCTACATTTTTTTAGGTTTTTGTATGTGAGTTTCAGGAGTAAAAAGCAATCTCGTTATACTAATTCCACGAACTGCCATCACTGAGTCATGTCTCTTGCGAAATGCATTTCACTTTATATTATTTTTTCCACATTTCCTGACATTGGAGAAGTGCTGAGCTCATGCTTGTGTGTGTACTGTATGTCGAGAAAGAATAGGTTCAGAGACAGCTTCTATTTCCCAGCAAGAAGACTACTGAATAGCTCATTAATGGCTACCTACCAACGGACTATCTGCACTGACTCTATCCACACACTCACACACACTTACACTGTCACTCTCGCGCACATACACACACACAAACACATACACACACATACACACACACACATACTGACGCCACAGACACTCACACTTTCACACACACTCACCCTCATGGACAAGTACAAACAGTCCAGCTATGCCCTCAGTAAGGCAATCAAACAGGCAAAACGTCAGTACAGAGACAAAGTGGAGTCGCAATTCAACAGCTCAGACATGAGACGTATGTGGCTACAGGGTCTACAGACAATCACGGATTATAAAGGGAAAGCTAGCCACATCGCGGACACCGATGCCTCGCTCCCGGACAAGCTAAACACCTTCTTCGCCCGCTTCGAGGAAAAACTTGATTTGATTTTGATTTGACTAAATGACTATTGCCCATAGAACTCACTTTTGTCATCATGAAGTGCTTTGAGAGGCTAGTTAAGGATCATATCACCTCTGAGTCTCCAACTCAATGATCAAGTTTGCAGACAACACAACAGTGGTAGGCCTAATTACCAACAACAACGAGACCCTGGCGGAGTGGTGCCAGGAAAATAACCTCTCCTTCAACGTCAACAAAACGAAGGAGCTAATCGTGGACTTCAGGAGAAAGAAGAAGGAGCACACCCTCATCCACATCGACGGGGCCGCATTGGAAAGTGTGAAAGGTTCCTCGGCATGCATATCACTGACAACCTGAAATGGTCCACCCACACAGACAGTGTGGTGAAGAAGGCGCAACAGCGCCTCTTCAACCTCAGGTAACTGAATACATTTGGTTTGGCCCCTAAGACCCTCACAAACTTCTACAGATGCACAATTGAGAGCATCCTGCCGGGCTGTATCACCGCCTGGTATGGCAACTGCACTGTCCGCAACCGCAGTGCTCTCCAGAGGGTGGTGCGGTCTGTCCAATTCATCACCAGGGCACACTGCCTGCCCTCCAGGACATCTACAGCACCCGTTTTCACAGTAAGGCCAAAAATATCAAGGACCTCAGCCACCCAAACCACGGCCTATTCACCTGCTACCATCTAGAAGGCGGAGACAGTACAGGTGTATCACAGCTGGGACCGAGAGACTGAAAAACAGCTTCTATCTCCAGGCCATCAGAATGTTAAATAGTCACCACTAGCCAGCTTCCGCCCAGTACCCTGCCCTGAACTCACTAGCCGGCTACCACCCGGTACTCTACCCTGCACCTTAGAGGCTGCTGCCCTATGTACATAGTCACTGAACACTGGTCAATTTAATAATGTTTACATACTGTTTTACCCACTTTATATGTAAATACTGTATTCTAGTAAAGGTTCATCCTATATAACTACTATATAACTACTGCTGTACCCACCTTTTCTATTCATATACTGTCCATACTGTCTATACACACCATCCTATACATACAGTACCAGTCAAAAGTTTGGACACACCTACTCATTCAAGGGTTTTTCTTTATTTTTACTGTTTTCTACATTGTAGAATAATAGTGAAGACATCAAAACTATGAAATAACACATATGGAATCATGTAGTAACCAAAAAAGTGTTAAACAAATCAAAATGGTATATTCTTCAATGTAGACACCCTTTGCCTTGATGACAGCTTTGCACACTCTTGGCATTCTCTCAACCAGCTTCACCTGGAATGCTTTTCCAACAGTCTTGAAGGAGTTCCCACATATGCTGAGCACTTGTTGGCTGCTTTTCCTTCACTCTGCGGTCCAACTCATCCAAAACCATCTCAATTGGGTTGAGGTTGGGTGATTGTGGCGGCCAGGTCATCTGATGCAGCAGTCCATCACTCTCCTTCTTGGTCAATAGCCCTTACACAGCCTGGAGGTGTGTTGGGTCATTATCCTGTTGAAAAACGAATGATAGTCCCACTAAGCTCAAACCAGATGAGATGGCGTATCGCTGCAGAATGCTGTGGTAGCCATGCTGGTTAAGTGTGCCTTGAATTCTAAATAAATCACCATCAGTGTCACCAGCAAAGCACCCCCACACCATCACACCTCCTCCTCCATGCTTCACAGTGGGAACCACACATGCGGAGATCATCCGTTCACCTACTCTGCGTCTCACAAAGACATGGCAGTTGGAACCAAAAATCTCAAATTTGGACTCATCAGACCAAAGGACAGATTTTCACTGGTCTAATGCCCATTGCTCGTGTTTCTTGGCCCAAGCAAGTCTCTTCTTATTATTGGTGTCCTTTAGTAGTGGTTTCTTTGCAGCAATTCGACCATGAAGGCCTGATTCACGCAGTCTCCTCTGAACAGTTGATGTTGAGATGTGTCTGTTACTTGAACTCTGAAGCATTTATTTGGGCTGCAATCTGAGGTGCAGTTAACTCTAACTGTCCCTGTAGCTCAGTTGGTAGAGCATGGCGCTTGCAACGCCAGGGTTGTGGGTTCGTTTCCCACGGGGGGCCAGTATGAAAATGTATGCACTCACTAACTGTAAGTCACTCTGGATAAGAGCGTCTGCTAAATGACTAAAATCTACTGCCCTGTTGGAGCTAGAAACATAAGCATTTTGCTGCACCTGCAAAATATGTGTACGCGACCAATGCAATTTGATTTGACACACATGCACACAAATATTCACCATATAATGTTAGTGCTACTATTTATTATTATTTATCCTGCTGGAACTATGTACCCCTACTTACATGTACATAATACCTTAACTACCACCATGTCCCTGCACATTGATATGGAACTGGCCTTGTACTGTATAAAGCTTACATTCTTGTGTGTTTTATTTTGCTTTTTTTTTTATTTTATCTTACCTAGTGCTGATTCTGTGCTTTTTTTAAAGATCCTATTTTGGAATAAAACATTTTGGGGAAGCATTTCGCTGAATGGTTTACACCTGTTGTATTCTGTGCATGTGACAAATAAACGTTGATTTGATTTGAATAGTGTCCGTAATAGTATATTGATGTTACAGTGATAGTAGAGCATGTGCTCTTGTCCTTTAGTTAACATACTTACTGCACATGCGCTCCATCACCATTATATTATATAACATTACATTATATTCTATTCTCCCCCCCTCCCCTTCCAGCCTGCAGACTACAAGATGGGTCCATCCATCATCATCGACCCAGACGAGTGTCCTCTGGACGAGCAGTGTGAACGCCTGCAGTATGACGGCAGCAAGTGGGAGTTTCCCCGAGACCGCCTCAGACTGGGTGAGTTCCTTACTTCACCATACAACACTAGTACAGTCTAAGAAGTCACTCACCATGACGACGCTGTGACTCAATGGCCTATACGCACCATGAAGGGGCACCTACTGTAAGTGCATTTACTTGTCCACCCTACACTTCACATCCACAGGTTTTCATTTTGATGACTGTGTGACCCTGTTTGCCCATTACATAGAAATATAGTGCCAGAGAGGATGGTATGTGGCAGAGGTGTCGCCTCCCTGTAAAGAGGGTGTAGCGTCGTTACTCATCAGCGACCCTCCGCTGTCGCCTGGTCTTAACGACACTATAAATCCCCTGGAGGAGCGCTTCAAGGGCCCAGTGTTCAGAACCTCAGCAGGTTGTTTTAATTACCCATAATTCCCCTGATAGAGAACCCAACCGGATTTACTACTCCCCATTGGCCAGCCACTCTCATGTAGACCTATTGAAACCCACTGGCCCCGCTCTCTCTCTCTCTCTCTCTCTCTCTCTCTCTCTCTCTCTCTCTCTCTCTCTCTCTCTCTCTCTCTCTCGCTCTCGCTCTCGCTCTCGCTCTCGCTCTCTGTTCCAGGCAAAACTCTGGGCCATGGAGCCTTCGGGAAAGTGGTAGAGGCCTCTGCTTTTGGGATTGACAAGCTCTCGACCTGCAAGACTGTGGCCGTCAAAATGCTGAAAGGTATGGAAGAAACATTATTATCAAGACTTTAATATGAGCATTTTATATATGCTAATTTGCAGTACTCTCATGTGCACTTCTGTTAAAAAACCATGTTGAAAAGTCATACAGGTTGTTTTCCCCATAGCTTCCTTTCGCTCACACCTAGTGGAAATGGTACTGATAAAGGTGCTCCTCGCCAAATACAGATATAAACACAATATCCATTGTTCTGGGTGTAACAGATGTAAAACAGCCATCTGTCATTTCAGCAGACGATTTGGTTTCTCGTGCATGATATGAATTCAAAAGCCGTGCTAGCACATGTGCATGTAATTAACAGTTGCGCACAGGGTATTGGTTCAAAGTAGACATGCGATGGCTGCTTCTCACACAGACTGTTTGTCTTGAGCGAGACTAAAACCTTGGTGTCCCTGATGAGGATGACAGTCTGCAGATATGACAGGAATCAGGATAGCATTCCACCTGGTGTTAGAGATTGAAAAGTTTAAAAGTGTACAAAAAATAAAAGACTAAGAAAAAAGTTGTAAAATAAAGGTTAGAAAAATAAAAAGGCTTATTAATAATTGTAACCCAGATGCTTTTGAGAGACACAAACAATTGGAAACAATGACGTGGTCAAACTAACTTTCCTCCTGGTTCTGTTGTGATATTCAACTCTAACTCCATGGATGGATGCTGATGGTGTTTACATTTACATTTAAGTCATTTAGCAGACCCTCTTATCCAGAGCGACTTACAAATTGGTGCATTCAACTTAGGATAACCATTGGGGCAACCACCTTTTTTTAAAAATTTTTTATGGGGGGTGGGGGAAGAAGGATTACTTTATACTATTCCAGGTATTCCTTAAAGAGGTAGGGCTTTCAAGTGTCTCCGGAAGGTGGTCAGTGACTCCGCTATCCTGGCGTCGTGGGGGAGCTTGTTCCACCATTGGGGTGCCAGAGCAGCGAATAGCTTTGACTGGACTGAGCGGGAACTGTGCTTCCGTAGAGGTAGGGGAGCTAGCAGGCCAGAGGTGGATGAACGTAGTGCCCTTGTTTGGGTGTAGGGTCTGATCAGAGCCTGAAGGTAAGGAGGTGCTGTTCCCCTCACAGCTGCGTAGGCAAGCACCATGGTCTTGTAGTAGATGCGAGCCTAAACTGGAAGCCAGTGGAGTGTGCTGAGGAGCGGGGTGACATGAGAGAACTTGGGAAGGTTGAACACCAGACGCGCTGCAGCGTTCTGGATAAGTTGTAGGGGTTTAATGGCACAGGCAGAGAGCCCAGCCAACAGCGAGTTGCAGTAATCCAGACGGGAGATGACAAGTGCCTGGATTAGGACCTGTGCCGCCTTCTGTGTAAGGTAGGGTCGTACTCTGCGAATGTTGTAGAGCATGAACCTGCAGGATCGGGTCACCGCTTTGGTGTTAGCGGAGAACGACAGGGTGTTGTTCAGGGTCACGCCAAGGTTTTTTGCACTCTGGCAGGAGGACACAATGGAGTTGTCAACCGTGATGGCGAGATCATGGAGCGGGCAGTCCTTCCCCGGGAGGAAGAGCAGCTCCATCTTGCCGAGGTTCAGCTTGAGGTGGTGATCCGACATCCACACTAATATGTCTGTCAGACATGCAGAGATGCGATTCGCAACCTGATTATCAGAAGGGGGAAAGGAGAAAATGAATTGTGTGTCGTCTGTGTAGCAATGATAGGAGAGACCATGTGGGGATATGACAGAGCCAAGTGACTTGGTGTATAGAGAGAATAGGAGAGGGCCTAGAACTGAGCCCTGGGGGACACCAGTGGTGAGAGCACATGGTGCGAAGACAGATTCTCGCCATGCCAACTGGTAGGAGCGACCTGTCAGGTAGGACGCAATCCAAGAGTGAGCAGCGCCGGAGATGCCCAACTCGGAGAGAGTGGAGAGGAGGATCTGATGGTTCACAGTATCAATGGCAGCAGATAGGTCTAGAAGGATAAGAGCAGAGGAGAGAGAGTTAGCTTTAGCAGTGCAGAGAGCCTCCGTGACACAGAGAAGAGCAGTCTCAGTTGAATGACCAGTCTTGAAACCTGACTGGTTTGGATCAAGAAGGTAATTCTGAGAGAGATAGCAGGAGAGTTGGCTAGAGATGGCACGCTCAAGAGTTTTGGAGAGAAAAGAAAGAAGGGATACTGGTCTGTAGTTGTTGACATCGGAGGGATCGAGTGTAGGTTTTTTGAGGAGGGGTGCAACTCTCGCTCTCTTGAAGACGGAAGGGACATAGCCAGCGGTCAAGGATGAGTTGATGAGCGAGGTGAGGTAAGGGAGAAGGTCTCCGGAAATGGTCTGGAGAAGAGAGGAGGGGATAGGGTCAAGCGGGCAGGTTGTTGGGCGCCCGGCCGTCACAAGTCGCAAGATTTCATCTGGAGAGAGAGGGGAGAAAGAAGTCAAAGCATAGGGTAGGGCAGTGTGAGCAGGACCAGCAGTGTCATTTGACTTAATAAATGAGGATCGGATGTCATCAACCTTCTTTTCAAAATGGCTGACGAAGTCATCCACAGAGAGGGAGGAGGGAGGGGGAGGAGGAGGAGGTTTCAGCAGGGAGGAGAAGGTGATAAAGAGCTTCCTAGGGTTAGAGGCAGAGGCTTGAAATTTAGAGTGGTAGAAATTGGCTTTAGCAGCAGAAACAGAGGAAGAAAATGTAGAGAGGAGGGAGTGAAAAGCTGACAGGTCTGCAGGGAGTCTAGTTTTCCTCCATTTCCGCTCGGCTGCCCGGAGCCCTGTTCTGTGAGCTCGCAATGAGTCGTCAAGTCACGGAGCAGGAGGGGAGGACCGAGCCGGCCGGGAGGATAGGGGACATAGAGAGTCAAAAGATGCAGAAAGGGAAGAGAGTTGAGGAGGCAGAATCAGGAGATCGGAGGGAGAAGGATTTAGCAGAGGGAAGAGATGATAAGATGGAAGAGGAGAGAGAGCCAAGGTTGCGACGGCACGTTACCATCTGAGTAGGGGCATATTGAATGGTGTTGGAGGAGAGCGAGATTGAAAAGGATACAAAGTAGTGGTCGGAGACTTGGAGGGGAGTTGCAGTGAGATTAGTAGAAGAACAGCATCTAGTAAAGATGAGGTCAAGCGTATTGCCTGCCTTGTGAGTAGGGGAGGACGGTGAGAGGGTGAGGTCAAAAGAGGAAAGGAGTGGAAAGAAGGAGGCAGAGAGAAATGAGTCAAAGGCAGACGTAGGGAGGTTAAAGTCACCCAGAACTGTGAGTGGTGAGCCATCCTCAGAAAAGGAACTTATCAAGGCGTCAAGCTCATTGATGAACTCTCCAAGGGAACCTGGAGGGCGATAAATGATAAGGATGTTAAGCTTGAATGGGCTAGTGACTGTGACAGCATGGAATTCAAATGAGGAGATAGACAGATGGGTCAGGGGGAAAAGAGAGAATGTCCACTTGGGAGAGATGAGGATTCCTGTGCCACCGCCACGCTGACCAGATGCTCTCGGGGTATGCGAGAACACATGATCAGACGAGGAAAGAGCAGTAGGAGTAGCAATGTTTTCTGTGGTAATCCATGTTTCCGTCAGCGCCAAGAAATTGAGGGACTGGAGGGTAGCATAGGCTGAGATGAACTCTGCCTTATTGGCCGCTGAACGGCAGTTCCAGAGGCTGCCGGAGACCTGGAACTCCACGTGGGTCGTGCGCGCAGGGACCACCAGATTAGAGTGGCAGCAGCCACGCGGTGTGAAGCGTTTGTATGGCCTGTGCAGAGAGGAGAGAACAGGGATAGACAGACACATAGTTGACAGGCTACAGAAAAGGCTACAATAATGCAAAAGAGATCTGAATAAAATTAACTAAACATCTGGGGAAGCGAGAGAGCGGGGCCTCCCTCACTTACCTTTCACTGAAACACTCAAATATAACTCTCCCAACTTCCACTTTAGAAATTATAATTGTTGTAAACTACAGTGGTTCAGTGTTTCCTAGGAATAGACTCTAACTTAGTTTAGTCAGCTAGCTAACTTGGTACAGTATTTTTCTGTGAAAACCGCCCAGGGCACCGTATCCTATGACGCCATAGCTAACTAGCATGCTAGCATCCAATAACACATGGTTTAGCACCAATACTTTGTTGCAACAAACTACCAATAGTGTGTTAACACACTAAACAGATAATTAATGTCCGTGTCTAGTTCCTTTCATAACGCAGAATAGATAGATCTAGCTACATGGGGATGATAAATCAGGCCATTTGTTAGATATTTCCGTCAGTGTCACCGCATTAATCATCCCTTTCCATTAATCATAGAGGAACCAAGCTCACCAGGTTGGCTGCTGCTCCGCTGCTCTACTGCTCTACTCCAGGCCCCCCAGGTCAAACATAATGAAAAGCAGCTGACTTCCCTAAACTGACCCTCTGTGCAGTGTGGTTTGAGACTCACTGTCAGTCAGCTCCAGCTTCCAGAGCAGGCTGGGACCACTGTGATGAGCCAACATAAGACAGAGCAGAAGTACAGTCCCACAATTCAGCTCCCAAGTTCTCCATTCATTATTTAAATGCAAGTAATTGATTCATTGTTTAAAACCTTTTACTGCAGTGGGCTAAATCAGGGTCACACAGAGGGTTTCTTGGTAGTCTTAAACAAATAAAGTAAACACCTCACACACATGGTTATGGGCTTAAAAAAAGAAGACACCTGTACCATGTCAGATATAGCGTTGAAATGTATTCAATTTTGAGTTTGCATTCCAATATTACACTTTATATACATCACAAAAGACTGAAATATAACAAAACCGTTTGACATAGAAACACCGGATTTTCTGCGTTTTTTGTTAAGTAATGTTTATTAATTATGAAATTATGAAAAATATTAATAACATTCCACCCATGAGGCCACTAGAGGGCGAGTTGGTCTTTTTTTTTTGGCCATTTGGTTATCGGAAGTTCTCCATTCATTTTTTAATTCAAGTCATTGATTCATTATTTAAATCGACCAAAATCCCTGTTAGAGTAAAGCACATCCAGGGAGTCAGTGATGGCTAAGAGCAAGATTATTTTGTTCAGTCAATGTTTTCATTCTGTTTATCAGTTAGGGACATTATTGTTACCATTGCTAACTCCAACCACCTGTGTCCAGATAAGCTTTTCAGATAATGAAAGAGAGAGACATTACCCAGGCACATTGGACGCATTAGGCTGCCACCCAACATTGACTAGTTGATATTCCACAGTCTTTGAGATCAATGTAGGTTTAGTTATGGGACCGTTAATCTTTGCGTCGATGCCCCCCCACCCCCCAAATGGATGAGTCACTTTGATGGTGTTTAGTTTACGTGGTTAAGAAAAACCCTCCCTCTGACCTCATAGTGTTCCTGACCCAGATATCTATCTGCCTCTTATATGATGTGTAGATTAGCTATACAACTGAGAAACAAAACAGCATTTTCTATTCTGGGAAATAATAATGTTACTGTCATATTTACTCTCCATGTGTGCTGCAGTGTTTATTGTGATGTAATGTATGGCTGTGCTTTGGGTTGTGCCCTCGTGTATGCGAGAATCTAATTTAATGTGAGAGAAGGCTGTTGTTTATGTTTTAAGTTATATATATTCCCATGTTGACTTAATTTATTTCCCGCTGTCCATCTTTGCATACCATCTTAACCTTGCACATTGAATGTTCTCATGTAGATTATCTTATTCTTGCCCATCTAAAATCTCCTCCACATGCGTAAATATCTGTTCTTTATTTTCCATCTATACTGTTTGGTTTCCAGATGTCCATGAACATACATCAGTTGGAGTAATCGTAAACAAAGATAAAGAACTTATATGACATTTTAATTTAAAGTCAAAAATACATCCACGCTTTTGTGGAGTTGTATGAAACAGGATCCCCGCAATAGGACATGTATATTTAATAGTCTGTGTGTTTGTGTTGAAACAGGAGGAGCTACGACAAATGAGCGCAAGGCTCTGATGTCGGAGCTGAAGATCCTGATCCACATTGGTCATCATCTGAACGTGGTCAACCTGCTGGGAGCCTGCACCAAGCCTGGAGGTGAGAGAGGGAGGACATTGTTAACTCTATGGTTAAACCTAGTCTCACTGTATGACTTGCATACAATTTGTGAAGTAAATTTATAAATTGATGGAATCTCAGAGAAAATCCTGTTTTTACTGTTTGAGTCATTACTTGTTTGGAATTTTCTTTCTTCTCAGGTCCATTGATGATGATAGTGGAGTACTGCAAATATGGAAACTTGTCAAACTACTTGAGAAGCAAGAGGGCTGATTTCATCGTTTATAAGGTAAATCAGCAGCTTTCAGAAATCCTGCATCAAATCAAAAGACTTCATTATTTAGTCTACTTAGCCATCAAACCTTCATGATTCAGTACATTTCTCAACCTAATAGGAAAACCCCAGATTGTCAGAAGAACCGTTTTCTAACTTGACTCAAGGTTTGCATCTGTATTTTTGATCTGATGTGTGTCTCGTATGTCAGAGCCAGGACGGTAAGGTGGTGACGTCGGGGTCAGGCTGTGACCTGAGCGAGCTCATCAAGCGGCGCCTGGAGAGCGTGGCCAGCACCGGAAGCTCGGCCAGCTCCGGCTTCGTGGAAGATAAGAGCTACTGCGACTCAGAGGAAGAGGAGGAAGGTAAACTAAAGGAGCCAACAGCGTCTTACTTCCCCTCCCACCTCCACCCACCACTCCCTCTCCCCTCTTCCCTCCCACCTCCACCCACTCTCCCCTCCCCCCTGATTGTTTTCTTCCCTGGGCCTGATGGGACATTTCCTCCTCCTGTTCATTAATTCAATCGATAGGACAGGAACCCCAGGCTGACACCCACTGGGCCTGAAGGAGAAGGAGGAGTGGAGGAGGAGGCCTCTGTTGACATCCTCCTCTGTCCTGACTGTTTGCCTGCTGCTGGCCCGTCGGCCATTTTAAATATAATCTATATATAACCATATAAATTAATGGTAAATAATGTATTGTGTCATTTTGGAGTCACTTTTGTTGTAAATAAGAATAGAATATGTTTCTAAAAACTTCTACATTAATGTAAATGCGACCATGATTACGGATAGTCCTGAATGAATCGTGAATAATGGTGAGTGAGAAAGTTACAGACGCACAAATATCATACCCCCAAGACATGCTAACCTCTCACCATTACAATAACAGGGGAGGTTAGCATTTTTGGGGGGTATGATATTTATGCCTCTGTAATTTTCTCACTCACCATTATTCACGATTCATTCAGGATTATCCGTAATAATGGTAGCATCCACATTAATGTAGAAGTGTTTAGAAACATAGTATATTCTTATTTACAACAAAAGTGACTCCAAAATGACACCATACATTATTTACCATGAATTTCAATTGGGCACAAAATAATCTGAAACACAACCAAAACAAACTGCAAATGCATAAAAAATGGTAAAGTCACAAGCTTGATGTAATAATTGCGTGCTAGGAATATGGAACCAAATGTTTAACTTTACTTTAATACACATATAGGTGGATTTGTCCCAATACCTTTGATCCCTTAAAATGGGAGGACTATGTACAAAAAGTGCTGTAATTTCTAAACGGTTCACCCAATATGGATAAAAAATACCATCAAATAAAAGCTGACAGTCTGCACTTCAACCTCACATTTGGAGCTCACTGTACGTGTTACACCGTACTGAATCATGTTTATGAAAATAGTTAATATTCATTACCACTTTATGTTCCGTTTTACCCTCAGAGCCAGAGGATCTGTACAAGAGAGTGCTGACAATGGAAGATTTGATTTGCTACAGTTTCCAAGTTGCAAAAGGCATGGAGTTCCTGGCTTCACGCAAGGTATGCACCTCCTCCAGGCAAATGACTGTTTCAAAATCAATTTGTTTGCAAAGGTAGTCTGGTGACACACATCTTGGGTCTTAAACTAATACCAGTTTATAAAACCTTATTCAGTCCAGTTGACTTTAGATTTAATAAAAGGCTGTCGTTTTTTGACAGCTGGGGAAGTTGTTTTGTTCAAATTTTTTATTCATAGAACACAATGTTCCTTGCGAGTCTATTGGCTATAATCAGTCTAAAACTCATTCAGATTTAAAGGTCCGTCACAAGCTCTGAGAGAGTGGATGGTACTAATTAGTGAACCCATTGTTGTAAATATTAGAGAGAAGGCCTTAACCTGGATATGGAACACTTCGCATCAGAATACCATTGATGACTGTTCCATATGGTTGTCTTAGCTGACATGCACGGGGCCATGAGAGTTTCCTTAAAGGTCACATGGTCAGGAAATAGTCCTAGCCATGCTTTATCACATTAGGCTGAATCGTAACTTGAGATATGTCCACATAACTCAAGCTTTCATGTAAAGTCATGCATAGATGTCAAGCCTAATCATATTGTATGTTTTTTCTTCTTTTCATTAGTGTATTCATCGTGATCTGGCTGCAAGAAACATCCTACTTTCTGAGAATAATGTTGTGAAGATATGCGATTTTGGACTGGCCAGAGACATCTACAAAGACCCAGACTACGTTCGCAAAGGAGATGTAAGTATAAACAGCAATCTGATATTGTTTACAATGCTATACTGTACTACTATTAATCTGACATAATAAGTACATGATATGTGATGAAACGCACCAATGACTTGATGTAGATTACCACCTGTTGTGTGAGAGAGACATTCAAAAACACTCAGCTTGATGGAAAAGGACCATAACAGTGTTCTGTTACTACCGACTTGGCAAAAACAGAAGAGAGATTGAATAAATGCAGTAGTTCTGGGAAATGCCAGATATTGTGGGCAGATTTCAGTGTTTGTCTGAATATTGAATAAACGTGTCTGTCTGCATAGACTAGAGGATGTTTGGTTGTTGAGGATGTTTGGTAGAGCTACGCCACGAGGGCATGTATTACTTTACTCAACAAGCCCTTCTGCTTCTCCTCAGATGGGACAGGTTGGTTATTAATGGTATTGATGAGACAGCCAGTCACACAGGTGAGATGAGATACCGATTTAAAAGAGCTTTCGTCTCTTATCTCCATCTCTCCCCCTCACAGGCCAGACTGCCCCTCAAGTGGATGGCGCCAGAGGCCATTTTTGACAAGGTCTACACCACTCAGAGCGATGTGTGGTCCTTTGGAGTCCTGATGTGGGAGATCTTCTCTCTGGGTAAATATACATACCTTTAGTCCTAACCAGGAAGTGCCTTGTAGTCCCTCAGACACATGCATACAAACACACAATAACATACGCACTATACACACACGTACACATAGATTTTGTGTTGTAGATATGTGGTAGTAGAGTAGGGGCCTGAGGGAACACACTTAATGTGTTGTGAAATCTGTTGTGAATGTATTGTAATGTTTTTTTAAATTGTATAACTGCGTTAATTATGCTGGATCCCAGGAAGAGTAGCTGCTGCCTAGGCAGGAACTAATGGTGATCCATAATAAATACAAATACCTAACCTGACCTTCCCATTAGCAGAATGAATTAGCAGAAATTAACAAACATCTGTGCACATTTCAGAACGCAGCCATTTGGAACAATACAGACTTATTCAATGCGGATTTCTTCTGTTGTGTAGGTCCTGAATCTCATTACATTTTACATTTTAGTCATTTAGCAGACGCTCTTATCCAGAGCGATCTCATCTACAAGGACTATTGTTTTAGGATTGTTAATGAAAGTACAAACATGGACTGCCCTGTAATGGATTTCTATCAGAGAATTCTTATTATGCTAATTATGTTTTAGTTATTTCTCAGTAAACATTTTACTGCTTATAAATAGTTTTGATCAAATAGTAACAAAATAGTTTGAAAAAACGATTGTCTGTATAATTATTTGCACACATAATCGTACAATTTTGCACACAGCGTGCAGTATTCCTTCCAAATGAGGGAGAGGTTTCTTTCTGTCATCAGCCAGCGATGTTCAGTGAGGAGACTAGTCTCCTGTCAGCTAGCCAGGCGAGGCAAGGTGCCCCCAGCCATGCAGCTCCTCCAGATGCACTGGGTCATAACTGTCTTCTGCTACTGTGTAATTGTGCCTCTGGGACAAAACGGGGCTGCATTGTCAGCTTGAGAAAACTATTTTCATGCTGCTCCTGCAAAAACATTTGTGAACTTCGACTGTGAATTTTATCACAGGCAAGGGCCATTAAAAAGAAAGAATACCTCCCATTTAAACCGGCCGTTGCCTTCCCAGCTGGCAATGCAAACGCTGTGTAACCAAGCAGCCGATCAATGTAAATGTTTGCCCCTGCTGTGAAACCACTGCAACCTTTAAGACACCATTGTACGTACATGACTGTCTATGCACCGTGCACCACATCCGACTGTTCTATAGCAAGACTCCACATGACATATTGTATGGTCAAATGTCACCATAGGTAACAAGGACAACATTCAGAGTAAATGTTACGAAAGTGTAAGGAAAGAACAGTACATCGATTCATGGCTTTAGGTTTCATTGGGCATCTACACTTCAACCTCTGCCATGAAGCCAATCATCCAGGAGGACTACAAAAAAAGTGTGTGAATTTTCATATATCTCTCTCCCATAATCTTTCTCTTTCAGAACCACACACACAGAACCACAGACACTGATACATACAGTTTGGAGAACAAGTATTTGATACACTGCCGATTTTGCAGGTTTTCCTACTTACAAAGCATGTAGAGGTCTGTAATTTTTATCATAGGTACACTTCAACTGTGAGAGACGGAATCTAAAACAAAAATCCAGAAAATCACATTGTATGATTTTTAAGTAATTCATTTGCATTTTATTGCATGACATAAGTATTTGATACATCAGAAAAGCAGAACTTAATATTTTGTACAGAAACCTTTGTTTGCAATTACATAGATCATACGTTTCCTGTAGATCTTGACCAGGTTTGCACACACTGCAGCAGGGATTTTGGCCCACTCCTCCATACAGACCTTCTCCAGATCCTTCAGGTTTCGGGGCTGTCGCTGGGCAATACGGACTTTCAGCTCCCTCCAAAGATTTTCTATTGGGTTCAGGTCTGGAGACTGGCTAGGCCACTCCAGGACCTTGAGATGCTTCTTACGGAGCCACTCCTTAGTTGCCCTGGCTGTGTGTTTCGGGTCGTTGTCATGCTGGAAGATCCAGCCACGACCCATCTTCAATGCTCTTACTGAGGGAAGGAGGTTGTTGGCCAAGATCTCGCGATACATGGCCCCATCCATCCTCCCCTCAATACGGTGCAGTCGTCCTGTCCCCTTTGCAGAAAAGCATCCCCAAAGAATGATGTTTCCACCTCCATGCTTCACGGTTGGGATGGTGTTCTTGGGGTTGTACTCATCCTTCTTCTTCCTCCAAACACGGCGAGTGGAGTTTAGACCAAAAAGCTATATTTTTGTCTCATCAGACCACATTACTTTCTCCCATTCCTCCTCTGGATCATCCAGATGGTCATTGGCAAACTTCAGACGGGCATGGACATGCGCTGGCTTGAGCAGGGGGACCTTGCGTGCGCTGCAGGATTTTAATCCATGACGGCGTAGTGTGTTACTAATGGTTTTCTTTGAGACTGTGGTCCCAGCTCTCTTCAGGTCATTGACCAGGTCCTGCCGTGTAGTTCTATGCTGATCCCTCACCTTCCTCATGATCATTGATGCCCCACGAGGTGAGATCTTGCATGGAGCCCCAGATCGAGGGTGATTGACCGTCATCTTGAACTTCTTCAATTTTCTAATAATTGCGCCAACAGTTGTTGCCTTCTCACCAAGCTGCTTGCCTATTGTCCTGTAGCCCATCCCAGCCTTGTGCAGGTCTACAATTTTATCCCTGATGTCCTTACACAGCTCTCTGGTCTTGGCCATTGTGGAGAGGTTGGAGTCTGTTTGATTGAGTGTGTGGACAGGTGTCTTTTATAAAGGTAACGAGTTCAAACAGGTGCAGTTAATACAGGTAATGAGTGGAGAACAGGAGGGCTTCTTAAAGAAAAACTAACAGGTCTGTGAGAGCCGGAATTCTTACTGGTTGGTAGGTGATCAAATACTTATGTCATGCAATAAAATGCAAATGAATTACTTAAAAATCATACAATGTGATTTTCTGGATTTTTGATTTAGATTCCGTCTCTCACAGTTGAAGTGTACCTATGATAAAAATTACAGACCTCTACATGCTTTGTAAGTAGGAAAACCTGCAAAATCGGCAGTGTATCAAATACTTGTTCTCCCCACTGTATACCTTCAAAGAATCACTCACTCACTCACACATCTGGAGGGTGTTAACATGGTCTCAGAAAGATCAATTAGGACACGGAAATGACTGCAGAAAAATGACAAACACTCAAGACTGGCAATCTGATAGGAGTTTAGAGGTCAAAAGTTTGCTCCAGTCCCAAGGTGCTGGAATATGCATATCGCAACGTGACCCGCAGTCTAGCAGCTTGAGTTTTGTCTTGTGTTTTTGGATTTCACCGTCTTGTTAGTTTAGGTGCCAAACCTTCAACTACACCCCGGTTTCTGTGTTAGACATGAGTTACACGGTAATCAGCCTATTTGCTTACCATGATCGGTTGATGTGATGGAGAGAAAATATAAAATGGCGTTCTAGGAGAGTGCCTTCGGAAAGTATTCAGACCCCTTGACTTTTTTCACATTTTGTTAGGTTACAGCCTTATTCTAAAATTGATTAAATTGTTTTTTTCCTCATCAATCTACACACAATAACCCATAATGACAAAGCAAAAACTGATTTGTATACATTTCTGCTAATAAATATCACATTTATATAAGTATTCAGACCCTTTACTCAGTACTTTGTTGAAGCACCTTTGGCAACGATTACAGCCTAGAGTCTTCTTGGGTATGACGCTACAAGCTTGGCACACCTGTATTTGGGGAGTTTATCCCATATTCTCTGCAGATCCTCTCAAGCTCTGTCAGGTTGGATGGGGAGTGTTGCTGCACAGCTATTTTCAGGTCTTTCCAGAGATGTTCGATCGGGTTCAAGTCCGGGCTCTGGCTGGGCCACTCAAGGACATTCAGAGACTTGTCCTGAAGCCACTCCTGCGTTGTCTTGGCTGTGTGCTTAGGGTCGTTGTCCTGTTGGAAGGGGAACCTTCGCCCCAGTCCCTGCCGCTGAAAAACATCATCACAGCATGATGCTGCCACCACCATGCTTCACCTTAGGGATGGTGCCAGGTTTCGTCCAGACGGGACGCTTGGCATTCAGGCCAAAGAGTTCAATTTTGGTTTCATCAGACCAGAGAATCTTGTTTCTCATGGTCTGAGAGTCTTTAGGTGCCTTTTGGCAAACTCCAAGCGGACTGTCATGTGCCTTTTACTGAGGAGTGGCTTCCGTCTGGCCACTCTACCATAAAGGCCTAACTGGTGGAGTGCTGCAGAGATGGTTGTCCTTCTGGAAGGTTCTCCCATCTCCACAGAGGAACTCTGGAGCTCTGTCAGAGTGACCATCGGGTTCTTGGTCACCTCCCTGATCAAGGACCTTCTCCCCCGATTGCTCAGTTTGGCCGGGCAGCCAGCTCTAGGAAGAGCCTTGGTGGATCCAAACTTCTTCCAATTAAGAATGATGGAGGCCACTGTGTTCTTGGGGACCTTCAATGCTGCAGAACATTTTTGGTACTCTTCCCCAGATCTGTGCCTCGACACAATCCTGTCTCTGAGCTCTACGGACAATTCCTTCGAACTCATGGCTTGGTTTTTGCTCTGACATGCACTGTCAACTGTGGAACCTTATATAGAAAGGTGTCTGCCTTTCAAAATCATGTCCAATCAATTTAATTGACCACAGGTGGACTCCAATCAAGTTGTAGAAACATCTCAAGGATGATCAGTGGAAACAGGATGCACCTGAGCTCAATTTCTCATAGTAAAGGGTCTGAATACTTATGTAAATAAGGTATTTCTGTTTTTTGTTTTTAATAACTTTACAAAAAAATCTAAAAACCTGTTTTCGCTTTGTCATTATGGGGTATTGTGTGTAGATTGATTAGGAAATTGTTTTAATTAATCCATTTTTGGAGAAGGCTGTAACGTAACAAAATGTGGAAAAAGTCAAGGGGTCTGAATACTTTCCGAAGGCGCTGTAGTGCCCTGGAGCCTTCGATGCTATCTGATATTGTGTCAGGGATATTGGTCGGGTACATGAAAATATTGGTTCATGAGTCTGGACATTTTTATGGATTACATGGCATGGGCAATATTTTCCAAAACCCCAACTGGATTGGATATTTGATATAAGTTGGCTTAGTCGTGTATTATTGTTTTTATTTCGGCTGAGCCAAGCATAAATTCAAATTATTCTAGAAAGAGTCTTACCTCAGCCCCAATAGTCAAATTTAATCATCTTTCTAGCACTATCTCTAGATGTTATTCAATGTATAAGATCATTGTCCATGTGCAAGGTCAATCAGTTGATGTTTAAACAGTCTTAACTGACTGTTTATGAAGCTTTCTTCTCTAATCTGTGTAAAGTATCCAACCCTCTCTGTGTGGGAGATTGAAGTGTCTGATAACCCCCCACCTCTCCCCCCACCCCCCAGGTGCCTCTCCGTATCCCGGCTTACACATCGACGAGGACTTCTGCTGCCGACTGAAGGAAGGGACCAGGATGAGAGCTCCAGAATACTCCTCCTCTGAAATGTAAGGATCAAGCGATCCATTACATAACATACAAACCCCAATCTCATCATCTAACTCAGGCCAAAAAAGGAATGCACTTGCAGTTTGAAGAGTGGCCCATGTCAGAAAGCTCTCTCACCTCTTGGCAGTGCATAATGCATCAAGCTCCCTTGGCTCATGAAACTTGTAAAGACCACGAAGCATGCCTCTAGTCCTCTCAACGTATCCCCCATGAGGGTAATTAGCCACCAGGAACTCTTACTCAGTGCAACACATTAGAGGGCAGTAAAGGAAAGCCTCACATATCGATGTACAGCAGTTGAAAAGAGGCCTTGTATCTGCTCCTTCATTTGTCTGAATGAGCGACAGGGCTTGATAGGCATCATGGGTAATCCAGCTCTGAATGTGGAGGGGAGACGGGAGCTGCTGATTGGCAGTTAACCGAGGGGTGCGGCGGGCGGCGAGGTGCGGATCTGTTTTCGGACTGACATCGATGCGGCCGTAATTGAGCCCCACATTAAAGGCTGGGGGAGTGGGGAGCGGCCAGGGGGCAGCCGGACACAGGGTAATGAGAGCAAGGGGCGGGAGACTCCCCTCACTTGTCCACACAAGGGGGATCTGAAGCAGGGCAGATGTGGACAGTGCTGCTGAAACAGAATATCTTTGGGGGAGTCTATGGGGGTTTCTCCTGGCCCTGTGGTGTCAGTGCTGTTAGTCTAGCAGTGAGGTGGACTGAACAGGAGGAGCTGGGGTTGTTGCCTTTATGAGGTGACTGGGTGGCTTCTCAGCAGGGAGGACTAAGTGCTGGGGCTCTCTCTCACTCACTGTGCCAGGCTATGGCACACGTCTGAGTTTACAGGGTTGGGGAGTAATGGATTACATGTAACTGGTTATTTAAAAACTGTAGCTGTAATCTGTTACGTTACCAGCACAAATATTGTAATCAGATTACAGATACTTTTGAAAAACTAGATGATTACTTCTAGAATTACTTTTAAATTCAGAAAGGAACCTATGACGCCGTTCTGTTTTCTCAATGACATTCAAATCAACATTGAAAAAAGGCAAAAATTGGCCTCCCGAGTGGCGCAGCGGTCTAAGGCACTGCATCGCAGTGCTTGAGGCATCACCACAGACCCGGGGTCGATCCCAGGCTGTGTCACAACCGGCCGTGACCGGGGGTCCCGTAGGGCGGTGCACAATTGGCCCAGCATCGTCCGGGTGAGGGGAGGGTTTGGCCGGGGGGGGCACATTGGTGCAGCTGGCTTCCGAGTTAAGTGGGTGGGTGGGTGTTAAGGAGCGCGGTTTGGCGGGTCATGTTTGGGAGGACGCATGACTCGACCTTCGCCTCTCCCGAGCCCGTTGGGGAGTTGCAGCGATGAGACAAGATCGTAATAGAAAAAGGGGATATTCTTTTTTTTTTTTTACAAAAAATAATAGTTTGTTCCGCCTGAGCGAGTGTGACCACAAGTCAGAGACCACTATGATGACACACAAAATGCGTTTGATGCATTGCGAGAAAAGAGCAGGAATAGGCTAATGTCTTCCAATGGTGCGACTGCTGTCGGCATCCAAAGATTATACATCCACTTTATACAACGCTTGGAGGTAAGGACGGCAGCAGTGGTGTACACTCTTAGGAAAAAAACGTGCTAACTAGAACCAAAAAGGGTTCTTCGGCTGTCCCCACAGGAGAACCCTTTGAAGAACCCCTTTTGGTTCTAGGTAGAACCCTTTTGGGTTCCATGTAGAACCCTTTCCACAGAATGTTCTACATGAGACCCAAAAGAGTTCTACCTGGAACCAAAAAGGGTTCTCCTATGGGAGAGCCGCAGAACCCTTTTGGAACCCTTTTTTCTAAGAGTGTAGCCGATACAGATATCACTTATTAATGATACAGTATCTACATAGCACAACGATGTGGATCACTCTGCTGCTCTCTCATTTAGCTATTATTTGCGCCTTGCGAATTGTGGTTGTTGTGGATGGCTGTTCACAAATGTATATGTGTATTTTAACCCAATAATGGTTGAATTGAAGAAGTTTAAGCTGCCTATCAATCATTGTTTTTGCAACCAGTGCACTGACAGACAGTTAAAAATGCGCTTTTGCAACAGCTGCATAGTGCAAATCCCAGCCTATGGAATAAAAGTTTGAGGGAGTTCCTCCCTTCTAAACTCCTCTGTGGTATTGTGCTCCACACTGTCAACAACAAGTTTAATTTAAGAAAACCACGAGTGGGGCTTTTATTGCTCAATCTAATTCTTGATGATCAATTTTTTATATCCAGAGGCCTAATGGACAAATGCTCAAACTCACACACTTTTGATAGTCTTAAACAGCTGCAAATTATTGAGATATCAAAGTGTCACCAACAAAAACGGAAACAATAGTAGGATGCAAATGCAGAATATGGTATTCATTTTTCACATGCAAATAGCATTTTTCGGTACTGCTCAAAGCATGCCACTCCATGAGAGCAGCATTTATTTTTCAACTTGAAGCAATGAGCCCAATCATTCCTCCATGACAACAAAATAATAAACAACGGAGTAGTATAATTAATCCTTAGTTTTTGGGTTATGCTCCGGTAAAACAATTAGGCTAATCTATATTTCCAGGTAGTGGCAGTTAGCCTAGCGGTTAGAACGTTGGGCTAGTAACTGGTCGGACCGCTAGTTCGAATCCCCAAGCCGACAAGGTGAAAATAGGTCTATGTGCCTTTGAGCAAGGCACTTAACCTTACTTGCTCCAGGGTTGCCGTTGATAATGGCAGACCCTGGTTGTGACCCCACTCTCTGAGGGTGTCTCAGGGAGAGTGGGATATGCAAAAAATACATTTCCAATTCACACGTTCATTAATACACACTCGTACGTGTGTGAAATAGGAGAAATATAAGCACCCACCAAATTATTTTATTTATTATTTTATTTCCAATCGTATTCTTGAAGATCAAGGTGTGTTAAATTAATTGGAATGACTGGAAATCTGACAGACTTTGGTTTTTAATGTAAAGATATAGCCTAATTGTATTATTATCTGTAGTAGAAAGCAATGGGTTAGAAGAAGCCTACAGAACCAACCCATAAAGTAAAATGCAACATCCATTTAAGGCCAGCTATGTGAACTCTTAACATTGATTTATCCTGCAATAGATGTCGTTCAATTAGTAATATTCATTTTTGTCTTCTTCTAAAGCCTCTTAAGGGGAAAGTAATCTAAAAGTAACTGAAAGTAATCAGATTACGTTACGGAGTTTTGGTCATCCACAAATTACGTTACTGATGACAATTTTGAATAGGTAACTAGCAACTGTAACAGATTTAGAAAGTAACCTACCCAACCCTGCGAGTTTACAACCTACTCCCAACGGACCCTTCGCTCACACATCCTGCTCTCAATCTATCTCATATTCAGCTATGTGTGTGGGTTTGTGTGTGCGTAGCGTTTGGTTTTCATTTGTGACAGAGCATGGTGGAGTCAAACTCCCTCTGTCTTATTCATTTGGAAGTGATCAATCCTGTACTTATATTTTATAACTCTTTACCACCAAGATGTCCAGAATGTTTAAAACATCTTGTGCCAACTGGAGCCAATTGAATGGATGTATCACGGAGACATGGGAGATGGTGATTGGAGTTGACCTGCGAAAATATGATCCAGACTGGAGTCTTAGAGCGCAGGGACTGGGAATATAACTAAATAGCAGCTCTGTAGATCCAGAGTCAGACCCACTGGTGCCAAGTTCCCCTCTCTAAGATCCCTCTCTAAGAAACGTTCCATTCTGGTTCAAAGCAAAGCGCTCCATTGACCGAATGAAGATATAGAGAGCAGATAACACTCTGCTAAGCTCATGCCAAGGAACCATGAAGTACAACCTGTCTCTTGTCTGAGATAAAAACAAAACCTGCTGATATCAGTTTAAATGGGAAGCAGAGGAGCGGTACGCACTCTAGTCTACAGGGGTAATACCCCCTGGCTCCCACACTTCTCCTCAGAGCCTCCCATGCCTGATGTTGATCATGTGTGTGGGAGCCTGGGATCCAGCCCCTGACCTTGACCTTGACTCCAACCCCCGTTATATGGATGATGAAAGGGGCCGGTGGGCCGGTGGGCCGGTGGGCCGGGCGATATGGGGCGGTAAATCTACCCTGCTGCTGCTGCACTGGCTCACCAGGAATGTGACCCTCCGTTTAGAAGATTGGAAGTTCCACTTCCTCCATCAGCCTAACGGCACTCCAATCTGGTGCATCCTTATCAGAATGTGGAAGACGCTTCTCAAGATGCAGGAATAGAGAAAAACGGATGTCCACCTCCCAACATCCCACAGCTGTCTTGCCGGGAAGAGAGAAGTGGACTTAAGAATTCGTACCACCACAATGGCCCCCCACGGCAGCGTATTCCCTAAAGAGACAGAAGAGGGGGAACCATTTTTTTCCCATTACGAAGCAGACAGGAAGCAGGCTTGAAATTGTGAGGCCATACAATGCTGTCTACATCCCCTCCTCTTGATTTGTGGGCCATGTGGGCCATGGTGGTCTACTCTGGGCTTCCATCCTGTCACTGTGAGGATGTTAGGAGTCCCTCCACCTGGCCAAGGACACTGATGAACATGGGAATCACAGCCCAGCCGCTTCCTCCAGCCAATCTCCACCGCACCGAGGGGAGAGGAGACGTCTTGCCAAGCCAAGGTCTAGGTGTCCTGAATACAAACACAGATGGAGAGGGCAAAGGGTGGGGGAGGAGGGAGGACGGAGGGCGTAATGGACCATCTGCTTTTTACTGTAATTTTCTCCAAACTCCAAATTGACTCAATCTGGTGCCAATCAGGGGAACATAATAGAGCTAATGGGCACCTGGCTGTGTTTACGTAAGGGCCTCTGTGTTTGGGGGCCGCGCTCCGTAGTATGAAGCGAGCTAGGGATCCATCATCACCCCGGCCGGGCTCGTTCACCAGGCTGACTATGGGGTTTGATTTAAACAGCAGCGGCGGCCGGTGCTCCGTCTCTGAATTCCTCCACGGCCGAGTCCGGCCATTATTACAGGCCACTGCTGGAAACACATAACGGCCCTGAGTCTTCCCACATGGGCAGAGACAGCTCGTCAAAAATCTGGGGGGGGGGGGGGGGGGTTCCTAATGTTCACACCGAGACCTAGAGGGAACGAGATACAGCCCCAGAGACCAGATGATCGTTGGAAAATGAAATATTTGGTATTTGAGTATTGTACATGACAGTTGATTTGGGTGAATGGCAGCTACAGGTCATCTCTCGTGTCAGTCAGCCTCCACACACACAGGGCCTGTCTGGTGGAGGAGGAGAGCATTGGGTCCCTCTGAATGTCAAAACCATCCTGGTTGTAAAAGATTGAGTATCGTTTGCCTTATGGTTAAATTTCTCAATGCACAGCAGAGCGAAGCATGCCTAGCAATGCGTGGCCATATGCATGGTGCTAAATTCATCACCATCAGGCAGGGGTCATTACCAACCCATATGGATGTGAATACTTGCGATTATCATATTATTACCAATTATTACAATTTATTTGCATATAGCTCAACAGTATAGCTATACAGTGTGTCTGTGTTATTAATGTGCGTTTGCGAGCCAGCATGATGACATGATGTGTATTTCTCCTCAGATACCAGACCATGTTGGACTGCTGGCAGGCCGAGCCAGGAGACAGGCCAACCTTCACTGAGCTGGTGGAGAGACTAGGAGACCTGCTACAGGCCAGCGTACAGCAGGTAAGATCCCCATGGCTTTGTTCTATCATTCCTTGCTCCCGTGAGGTTATCACTAATCTAAAATTTGTGAATAGGTGAATGTGGTTGAACCCATGAAGGGTTACAGTGTGTCACATGATGAAGACCAGGTTCAAGGTGACCTGGAGATCAGAGGTCAGCAGAGTTGTGGATAGGGCCTTGTCTCAGGCTTGTGAGATGTACTGTTTTGCTTCTGACCAGTAATTATCTGTAGCTGAGGCAAGAGCCAAAACAGTGTGGAGGAGAACATTTGTGGATGACGTATGCTCCTCATGGAGTAAAAGGGTTTAAGTAAGTCAAGTTTAGGCAAATGGCTCAAAACCACTTCTATGTGAGGGAAGCTAAAACACATTGAACGACTTGAGCCACATCGTTATTACGAAACTACTTTTAACAATGGAATTAGTCCCTGTTTCTGGATGGTGACTTACACATTGCAACTATTCAGGAAGCGGCTCCTCTGAGTAAAGCACTACAGACTGGAGATGATGCGAAGGGGTCTGGCCCAGGGGGGTGCCCGGAACTTGGAGGGGAAGTCACACTCAACAGCCCCGCTTGGCTCCCTTTGAAAAAGTAGCTAGCGCGTAAGCTCTGTATTGAACACAACGGCCATTTATGACAATGGAAACATCCCAAACCCAGCAGGGAATGAGGAGGTTCACTTCTTATCATAAACACTGACAGATCATCCTCAAAGGTCTGGATGATTACAGATGTGATCAATCAGCAGCGTCTGACACTCACTAAATCCCCTTTCACATTACAATCACTCCTCATCACCAGCCCCAACCACCAGCTGAAAGACGACCAGATTGAACACATCTAAATGATTTAGGCCATGAAACCATGACACATAAACATACTCCTGGACTATACTTTCCTACATTGTCAATAAAGAGAGGGCTGCTTTTGTGGTAATGGAATGACAGGGAGATATTGATAAAGAGGAATGGAATCAAGAGAGGGAGAAAGAAAGCAGCGATTGTGACTGCTGATGGAAAATTGGCTGTTTCCCCAGCGAGGACAAAACAATAGGTTCCCATCAAGTCCTTATAATGCCCAAAACTCAAGAGTTTAAAAGACAGTCTAAAGCACAGTCACTGAGAGAATGGAAGAGACTTCCTCAGATATCTACAGCCATGCTCCCAGTTTCACCTCTCTCCCAGACCAGGACCCGATTGTATAAAACACCCTAAGTTAGCTTTAATTTTAACTTAAAGTTTCCTTAACTTTAAGTCAGTTGCACAAAATATTTTAAGGTGAATTTCCCCCTTAAATTAAGTTAAAAAGTTAAGGGTGCTTCATTCAGTATGGATATCAATGTAAACAGCATTTGTGGAGGTGAATGTTGCTTTCCTCTGCCCTGGTTTCAAAAGGAAAACATCAACCAGCTAGTTAGGTAGCTAACAGTTAGCTACTTAGCTAAACAATGGAAGGTGCACAATCCATGGCTACAAAACTAGCTGGGTAGATTAGCTAGCTACTCTGTAAATTAGCTTGACGTGCTAGAAAGTAATATAAACAAGTTGAGAAAAAATTCCCTACAAGAAACATAGTTTATTATCTTCTGAATCAATTTGGTTATCCTGTCTTGATTGTAGAAGTTCTATTTTGCCATCTCACAAAATACATGCGATCTCAGGCCGTCTCCATGGTAACCGGATACTCTTTCTGCCTTACATGCCTTGAAACTACCGTAAAACCCCTTAAGTATGCCCTTACCTAAGGAAATATTTGAGGGGCTCTATGCAACGTCATTAAACAATTCCCTTAGGTAATACTTAAGATGTTTTATGTAACCGGGCCCAGGTCCAGATAGTTCATTAACTGCCGACAGACCCAGACACACACAGACAGCTCCTAGGACTAAAATGAGACCAGACAGTGGTGGGGATAGTAAAGAGAAATGAGATGATAGCAGGCCAGACATCACATCACATGAAACCACAGTATAAAAACACTTTATAACATAACAGATCACTCTCGCTGAAAACCAACCGCAAGAGAACCCATTCTGACAGGACAGAAAAGAGCTGAACAGGGAGGATTTCAACCCTTCCATTAATATAGGTCTGTTACATACAGAGAGACTCATTCTTTTACAGGCCAGTCAGCGATGTTGTCTCCACCAGCATCATCACCCCCTCAGACATTCCACATTGGATTTATTAGGCATGACCTTGGTTTCTTTGGCAACATTCCCTGCTAGTCCTGGATGGATGTTTGTGAAGCAAACGGACAGTATCACGCTCAAATCTCCCTAAGCTTCACACGCTTATCACACACATGTGCTTTCCGTCATGCTATGATAGCAGTTAGCTAGGCCTCTGGTCTATGATAGCTGCTAGCTAGGCCTCTGGTCTATGATAGCTGCTAACTAGGCCTCTGGTCTGACATGTTGTGTTCTCTCCTCTTTCTGTCCATTCAGGAGGGCAAGCATTACATCCCTATAGCAGCCCTGCTGTCCAAGGAGGGTGACCCCTCCAACACGGCCCTGTCAGAAGAGACCAACACCAGGCCACTCTCTTACCGCGACTCAGGGAGCACCTGGTAAGAAGGAGGAGTCTGTGAGCTGGCCAGTCGCTACACTACATTACCCAGCTATATTACCCTCAACCTAACAGGGAGATATTACCCTGATTACCCTCAACCTAACAGAGAGATATTACCTGCAACCTAACAGAGAGATATTACCCTCAACCTAACAGGGAGAAATATTACCCTCAACCTAACACAGAAATGTTACCCTCAACCTAACACAGAGATATTACCCTCAACCTAACACAGAGATATTACCCTCAACCTAACAGATAAATATTACCCTCAACCTAACACAGAGATATTACCCTCAACCTAACAGAGAAATATTACCCTCAACCTAACACTGAGATATTACCCTCAACCTAACACAGAGATAGTATTACCCTGAACCTAACACAGAGATATTACCCTCACCCTAACACAGAGATATTACCCTCAACCTAACACCGAGATCACACTCACACCTGTGGCTCACATCAAGGTTCTCACATTTTATTGTATTGCAGTTTAGGGCTCTATTCAATCTGTATTGCAGAAGTTCAGCATTACAGCGTGATTGAAATGTAATGGCAATGTTCCCGCATTAGCGGAAGCTGCATTCATGGTAAACCCTGCATAGGTCAGCTCAATGGGAAATTATCTTTACATTTCTATCACGCAATCTGTAATGCTTCAGCGATATACACATTGAAGAGCGCTTAGTTAAAGAATTCTGCCATAAGTCTATGTACATTATATAACATTTAATAGAGACATTTCAACATTGAAATGTAATGTCTCCATGGGCGTCTTGGCTTAATGGTAACGTTAAAATCTCTTTAAATCTGTGTTATTTTAATTGAACTGAGTGTTAAGATAACAACCAATCATTTCCCCACTCTTTATTCAGTACATTGTCCAAAGCACACTCCATTTTCTTTACATATGCTTTGCTTGGTGGGTCGGGTACTTATTCTTAAAGAAGTGCATGTAGATCTGCTTGAGGACAGTGAAAGACCTGATAAAGGTTGTGATGAGAACTATATACACTGGCAGTCTGATGGTGAGGGAGCCCAAAGCATTGTGTTCCCTTCAAAGATTTTCCTCCCAAACCACAGACCCTGCTCCAGGATTTATGTCCACTTAAAATAATATTTTTCAAGCCCTCATATTTTCACAGGTCCTACCAGTGGGTTTATTGAGAATGTATTGAAATGCTTTAATGACAGTTATCCCTTAAGCTGAACTGAATTAAGCAGTCATTTGATTCTCTCTCTGTGTTGGAAAGCCCAAAAAATAGGGTTGATTTTTAAAGATCAATTCCACCGACATTATGTAATTGTTGACTAAATTGATTATGTTCATGCTTATTGTGTTTTTTAGACGCTTTTTGGCGCCTGTGTAATCTTGGAATTCCCTGACTGGGACATTTTTCCTATGTTGGGATCTGACTTTGGAAATCTTATCCCTTCAGGAACATTAAGATCCGTCCAGCAAGTGTGAAGACCTTTGATGAGGTTACCATGGAGAACGGCTCTAACGACAACCATGAGGTGAATTAACCCACCACCCCTATCCCTCTCTCACACACTGAACACCAAGTGACTCAAACCTCCCAGCAAACCGGGAACATTCCCAGAACATTAGCTAAGATTCCCATTAAGTTCTACTTAGGGTTTTATCTCAAATTAGCATGATAACAACCCCAAAACATTCAAAGAATGTTTTTCATTAATAAAATGTACTTTTTTGTTATGTTTTAAATTAATATCCTTCACTAAAATGTTGTGCACAACATCTGTAACAATTACCACAGAACATTCCCCAAAAGTTCTCATTAGGTTTCCAGGTAATGTAATAACACAATGTACCAGTAATGCTTTCCCAGCAAACCAAAATTGGTTCTGTGAAAGTTCCCAGAACATTCGTTAGGTTGCGGTAAATGTTCTCGTAACACAAAAACTGTCAAGTTGTGTTGATTATTATACAATGTTTGTATAAAACATTTGCCTGATGTTGCAAGAACGTTCCCAGAACACATTTTATCTGTTCTTTCAAGGTTTCCAGAATGTTTAATTAGGTTGTGGGAACAGTGTGGGTACATTACAACAGATATGTTTCCAAATCATAAAATATGCTCTGTTGTGATAATAATAATAATAATAATAATAATAATATGCCATTTAGCAGACGCTTTTATCCAAAGCGACTTACAGTCATGTGTGCATAAATTTTTACGTATGACATTCATACAATGTTTAAGTTAGGTTGCACAGGACATTCCCTTAATGTTGTAAGAATTAAGGTTCCCAAATTATGGGAGTTGTCTGGGATGTTGCAAGAATATACTTGTGATATTCACGAAGGTTGCATAGAACATTCCCACAATGTTGCACAATGTTCCAGAGACTATGGTGGTCTGCTTGAAACATGTTGGTATTACAGACAGTTGGTATTATTAGGGACATGTTGAAAATGTCAGTGAAGACACTTGCCAGTTGGTCAGCGCATGCTTGGAGTACACGTCCTGGTAATCCGTCTGGCCCTGCGGTCTTGTGAATGTTGACCTGCTTAAAAGTCTTACTCACATCGGCTACGGAGAGCGTGATCACATAGTCATCCGGAACAGCTGATGCTCTCATGCATGCTTCAGTGTTGCTTGCCTCGAAGCGAGCATAGAAGTGATTTAACTCGTCTTGTAGGCTTGTGTCACTGTGCAGCTTGCGGCTGTGCTTCCCTTTGTAGTCTGTAATAGTTTTCAAGCCCTTCCACATCCGACGAGCGTCAGAGGCGGTGGAGTACGATTCAATCTTAGTCCTGTTTTGACTCTTTGCCTGTTTGATGGTTCGTCGGAGGGCATAGCGGGATTTCTTATAAGCGTCCAGATTAGAGTCCCGCTCCTTGAAAGCAGCACTACCGTTTAGCTCAGTGCGGATGTTGCCTGTAATCCATGGCTTCTGGTTGGGGTATGTACGTACGGTCACTGTGGGGATGACGTCATCGATGCACTTATTGATGAAGCCAGTGACTGATGTGGTGTACTCCTCAATGCTATCGGAAGAATCCCGGAACATATTCCAGTCTGTGCTAGCAAAACAGTCCTGTAGCTTAGCATCTGCGTCATCTGACCACTTCCTTATTAACCGAGTCACTGGTGCTTCCTGCTTTCGTTTTTGCTTATAAGCAGGAAACAGGAGGATAGAGTTGTGGTCAGATATGCCAAATGGAGGGTGAGGGAGAGCTTTGTATGCGTTTCTGTGTGTGGAGTAAAGGTGGTCTAGAGTTTGTTTTCCTCTGGTTGCACATGTGACATGCTGGTAGAAATTAGGTAGAACGGATTTAAGTTTCCCTGCATTAAAGTCCCCGGCCACTAGGAGCGCTGCCTCTGGATGAGCGTTTTCCTGTTTACTTATGGCCTTATACAGCTCATTGAGTGCAATCTTAGTGCCAGCATCGGTTTGTGGTGGTAAATAGACAGCTACGAAAAATATAGATGAAAACTCTCTTGGTAAATAGTGTGGTCTACAGCTTATCATGAGATACTCTACCTCAGGCGAGCAAAACCTCAAGACCTCCTTAGTATTAGATTTTATGCACCAGCTGTTGTTTACAAATATACACAGAACGCCACCCCTTGTCTTACCGGAGTCAGCCCTTCTATCCTGCCTATGTAGAGTATATCCGGCCAGCTGAATGTTATCCATGTCGTCGTTCAGCCACGACTCGGTGAAACATAAGATATTACAGTTTTTAATGTCCTGTTGGTAGGATAACCTTAATCTTAGGTCGTCCAATTTATTTTCAAATGATTGAACATCGGCTAATATGATTGATGGAAGAGGCAGTTTGCTCGCCGTCGGATCCTTACAAGGCACCCCGACCTACGTCCACGATATCTCTGTCTCTTTCTCATGCGAATGACGGGGATTTGGGCCTTGTAATAAACTCATAGGTACGGTACCAGTTAAAAGTTTGGACACACCTACTCATTCAAGGGTTTTTCTTTATTTTTACTATTTTCTACATTGTAGAATAATAGTGAAGACATCAAAACTATGAAATAACACATATGGAATCATGTAGTAACCAAGAAAGTGTTAAACAAATCAAAATATATTTTATATTTGAGATTCTTCAAATAGCCACCCTTTGCAAATAGACAGCTTTGCACACTCTTGGCATTCTCTCAACCAGCTTCACCTGGAATGCTTTTCCAACAGCCTTGAAGGAGTTACCACATATGCTGAGCACTTGTTGGCTGCTATTCCTTCACTCTGCGGTCTGACTCATCCCAAACCATCTCAATTTGGTTGAGGTCGGGGGAGGCCAGGTCATCTGACGCAGCACTCCATCACTCTCCTTCTTGGTAAAATAGCCCTTACACAGCCTGGAGGTGTGTTGGGTCATTGTCCTGTTGAAAAACAAAGGATAGTCCCACTAAGCCCAAACCAGATGGGATGGCGTATCGCTGCAGAATGCTGTGGTAGCCATGCTGGTTAAATTTGGACTCCAGACCAAAGGACAACTTTGCACCGGTCTAATGTCCATTGCTCGTGTTTCTTGGCCAAAGCAAGTCTCTTATTATTATTGGTGTCCTTTAGTAGTGGTTTCTTTGCAGCAATTTTTAACATGAAGGCCTGATTCACACAGTCTCCTCTGAACAGTTGATGTTGAGATGTGTCTGTTACTTGAACTCTGTGAAGCATTTATTTGGGCTGCAATTTCTGAGGCTGATAACTCAAATTAACTTATCCTCTGTAGCAGAGGTAACTCTGGGTCTTCCATTCCTGTGACGGTCCTCATGAGAGCCAGTTTCATCATAGCGCTTGATGGTTTTTGCGACTGCACTTGAAGAAACTTTCAAAGTTCTTGACATTTTCCGTATTGACTGACCTTCATGTCTTAAAGTAATGACGGACTGTCGTTTCTCTTTGCTTATTTGAGCTGTTCTTGCCATAAAATGGACTTGGTATTTTACCAAATAAGACTATCTTCTGTATACCTTTTACCTTGTCACAACACAACTGATTGGATCAAACGCATTAAGAAGGAAAGAAATTCCACAAATTAACTTTTAACAAGGCACACCTGTTAATTGAAATGCATTCCAGGTGACTACCTCATGAAGCTGGTTGAGAGAATGACACGAGTGTGCAAAGCTGTCATCAAGGCAAAGGGTGGTTATTTGAAGATTCTCAAATATAAAATATATTTTGATTTGTTTAACACTTTTTTGGTTACTACATGATTCCATATGTGTTATTTCATAGTTTTGATGTCTTCACTATTATTCTACAATGTAGAAAATAGTAAAATAATAAAGAAAAACCCTTCAATGAGTAGGTGTTCTAAAACTTTTGACCGGTAGTGTATATTTTGTGATGTTCCCACCAGACTGTTCCCACAACCTAATGAAACATTATGGGAACCTTTAAAGAACAAATGTTTTTCTACGAACGTTCTTGCAACATCAGGCGATGTTTTATACAAACATTCTATAATCATCAGCATGACTGGACAGTTTTTGCCTTATGAGAACATTTGCTGCGACCTAATGAATGTTTTGGGAATTTTCAAAGAACCAATTTTGGTTTGCTGGGCTAACATGATGATTTCTCTAAACCACACCTACAGAGCTGCCCCGTTAATAGGGTGTAAAACATCTGGCCTATAAGAATAGACATATGTGAGACCATTTTGGTGGACGCTGACACTTACTCTTTCTCTCTCTCATCCTTGTTTCTCTCTCTATCTCTCTCTCACTCTCTCTCAATCCCTCTCTTTCCCATTTCCCTCCCTCACTCTGCACGTGCAGAGGGGCCAGTCGGACAGTGGAATGGGCCTGTCGTCTGATGATATGAACACGCTGAAGCGCCTGGAGTCCTTGGCCCGACCTCTCAGCATCATGGCCCTGGCGTGAGTACACCTAATCCACATAATCCCTGTCACTGACAGCATCCAGAGACACAGGCTGAGGCAGAAGAGGCAGGGGGGCCACATGCAGAGGCACTGGAGGCAGGGAGGGGTAGAGAGGCAGGATAGAGAGTTAGGGGAGGCAGAAAGAGCCAGGGGGAAAAGGAGAGGAAGGCCGCTGGCCCTGCCCTGGAAACCCACCTGCTGGCCTGGAATGTAGACGTTGGGATTGTCACACACACTCATACACACACACACATGGCCCCTCTCACCCCCTTAACCTCAATGACTGGTTTTCCCTTTTGTCAAAAGAGACCATGCTATAGCCCCAGTGAGACAAAGGACTCGGGGGGGGAGGGAGATTGCCCCAAGGTGACAACCCAAACGACAGGGAACAAAAGCCCAGTGGAAGTGTGACTCGGGGCCTGGGTGGTTTAAGAGCACGCACTAAAACTTGCTTTGGCGTTCGCCAAAAGGCTGCTTGGCCTGATTGAGACGTCCTCTGACAGCTTACTTATCAAGGTTCAATGTAGAGGCAGTGTTTCATACATCAATCAACTGCCATAGTTTGAGATGACATAAGAGGTTTGTGATACAGACTCCAGAGTCAATCTAACAGATGTTATCAGAACAACACTGTCATTGCTGAGGAACAGTTGTGGACACAGATGTCTTATCGCCCTGGATGTTATCTGGTCTAGTATAACCAGACTGTGGTGTCTGAGGAAATGTCTAACATTGCCCTGCGTATTTGAGAACGAAGGCTCCAATATGCAGTGACCTGAGAGCTGATGTTCAGATAGAGAAAACATTCAATTATATATGTACAGTCCACCCACTGTCCCAGATAAGCCTGTACATTGTGTGGATGATTTAGGTCTGAGAGATTGTTTATGATTTTGAACGTCGGCCAATAGCAGGGTTAATCTAGCAGGTCACACCCCTGGGCTCTCTCCTTACACTCTGGACCTCAACATGCTCAGAAAACTAGCAACGTTCAAGCTGAGTAAACAAGGGGATGCATTCGGGTTATAGAGAGTTTACTCTCATGATACAGCTAGCAACCACCTACTTTTAGAGTTACTACCACTCCTTGTCATAACCTGTCGTACCTGTAGAATAGATAGAAACCAGGGCTGAGGACAGGGTTTAGAAGGTTAGGCTTCAAAACCTCTCCCAGCTATAAATGACACATTATCCATTGTGTACTTCAAAGAGCAGAATTGGATGAAAAATAGATATATAGATGGATTCTGTCTTTTAAATGCCCAGCTCACAAACAACTCTTCACTGGACAAAAAAGATTAGGACTAATACATATTCAAATAAGCAAGAACAGCTAACAAAGGAATGTTTTTAAAAATGCAATAATCATAAACTGACAGAAAGGGAACATGAAATAAAAAAGGCGAGGGGAGTTTGATATCATTTTTATGGGGCCGGCCAGTGTCTCTCACCATGATTAATGACACTATTCCAAACCCCCAATGAACAGACCGCAAGGTGTTGGTTTGATTAAAAACATTCTGGATCCTCTCCCTCAGCAACCATTGTACCCTCCCTGCCCCAATCCACCCCCACACCCCCATCAACCCATGTACAGTGCTTCCCTCATCTCTGTGCCCCTATGTGAGGTACAACGCTAGGCAGAGAGAGACTAGACCACTACATTTACATTTTTACATTTTAGTCATTTAGCAGACGCTCTTATCCAGAGCGACTTACAGTTAGTGAGTGCATACATTATTTTTATTTATTTTTGTTCTACCATGGGAGAATCAGTCACCAGAGGTATGCAGAGAATGATCTATTTATTGAGGGGAGAGAACCCTCACTGGGTCGCCGCTCGATCACTCTCACCTTTGACCTTCTGGAGGTTTACAAGGGAGGGCTGTAGTAGTCCTCTAGCTCTCTCTCTCGTTCTCTCTATAGCTCTCACTATAGCTCTCTCTCTCGCTCTTTCTATCTCTCTCTGGCTCTCTCTCTATAGCTCTCTATAGCTTTCTCTCTCGCTCTCTCTGAAGCTCTCTCGCTCTCTCTCTATAGCTCTCTCTCTCTATAGCTCTCTCTCTCTATAGCTCTCACTATAGCTCTCTCTCTCTCTATCTCTCTCTCTCTCTCTCTATAGCTCTCTCTCTCGCTATAGCTCTATCTCTCTCTCTAGCTCTCTCTCTCTTTGTAGATGTGTGGAAATGCTTGGGATATTATTGTTGTCAGTACTCGACTCACCAATCTAAAATGTACTGATCCATTATAGAATATAATCATTGTAATACACCACCCTGTCATTTCCCCAGTCTCATAGTCAATGCAGCCAGTCAGTCATGCGATTTACCCCACTGAGAGCCGACTTTGGCCCCTGTGAGAGAAGTTCAGGAAACTCCTAGCAACCAGAAGACAATAGTAGTCAATTACTCATATTTGGAGCGGGAGAAGAAGAAGTCAACATCTGTGAGAGAGGCCAGAGAACATGATTGATGATATCCTTTATGAACAATTATCATGGACATTTATTGTTGTTATGTTTTTGTATTTTATTACGGATCCCCATTAGTTCCTGCCAAGGCAGCAGCTAAGGCAATTATATTTTACTTAGTCTGTTATTAACAATGTATTCTCTCTCATTCAATCTCAATCTCATCTCGCTTTATGGCATGACGTCCACACTGTACATATCTCCAAGCTTACTCTTCTCCTCTCTCTCTCTCTCTCCTCTCTCTCTCTCTCTCTCCTCTCTCTCTATCTCTCCTCTCTTCTGATGAAGGCGGTGACGCTAGCGTATCCATCGTCGGGCTGACTGAAGGAGAGAGGACAGTTCCTGCCGGCCCCTTCGGGGCTCTCTCTCACCCTGGACAGACTCGTCATCTCGGAGCTCGGTCTGCGTCAGTGCCACACTCTCTACGCTCTCTCTCTCCTCTTCTACCAACTAGGTAAGCGGTGAGTAGGAGTAGGAGTCGGTGCTGACTGAAGGAGAGAAGGACAGTACCCTCACCTGTCCCCTCTCTGGACTTCACCCTGGACGACTCGTCCCTGGAGCCCGGTCTGGAGTGCCACAGCCCGCCCCCTGACTACAACTATGTGGTGCGCTACTCCACCCCACCTGTGTAGCCCCACCCCATCGCCGTGGGAGACGCGCCAAAGCCTGCTACCCAATCTCCTACCCTCCGCCCCAGGGAGAATCTATCTGACTGAATGCCTCGAGGCCTCTCCTTTGTTCACCTCTGTTCTGACTCTGTCTCTGGACTTCACAGCGCACCGTAAAACGCCTGCTGCCTCCCTCCTTTTACCTTCTTCCATTTCTCCTCCTCCCCGAGGCTTAAGAGAGAGACAAGTTTGAGACGCTTTGTTACAACGTGGGAGATTGTGAGACACCTTACTGAACGTCTGCACTTAGCCTGCCTGCTTCCCATCAGCCCACTCTGCAGGAAGGAGGAAGAAGAGGCTGCCCTCTTCTGTAATGGTCTCAGCTTGACCCAGAGGTCAGCCTATGTACTGCTGGTCTTCTCCATAGCCCACTCAGATATCCACACATACAGCTAGCTATAGATAGATACCTATAGACTTATGTAGACTTATATACAGCCTCAGGTATTCCTATAATCTACTGTGAACAACACCAAGAAGCACAACCGATTCCAGACTTGTAACGAATGACAGTACTATGAAATGTATTATTGGCAGTTTATACTGTAGGATAAATGAAGAATGTGTTACCATGGGGATACAAAATGTAGAGGAGAAAGCAGATGAGAGAATTGGGGTGTTTTTATTGATAGTATTTTATTTCTGTACAAATATTTTATAGAATTGAAAACTGGAAAGTAATGTGCTATTTTATTTTATTATGTAATGATTATTGATATAAGGTTGACGAAATATTTGTGTCACAAAGTTGATATTTTCAAGCATATTCCTCAGCTTGACTTTAGCTAAAGCACCCTTTTTTTTTTTGCGCGTGTCAGACAGATTATAGGAACGGTTCGTGAATAATTGAATGTGCCCGTCTGAAAAGATTTCTCACTTGAGGACTCCAATCCCCAGTATTCCCAGTGAACATGTTTTTGTATTTGGAATATTTTTTCCCTTCAACTCAGATGGAGAGACAAATGGGTTGAGACTGTTGTCTACAGTAGATGGATATGGGTCATTGTCCCTTAGGGTCAGTCTGAGTAGTACTAGTTTAAACAGCCCATAGAATCCCAGCTCCCAACGTCTCTGAATGGGGTTAAGGCATGGAGGGTACAGGGCAGGGCAGAACACAGCGTAAGACCACACTGCTTTGGATGTAACACGACATCTCTACCGTGAAGCCATTTTAAATGAAAAGTTATGTTTGGATTCCTTCCCCTATCCCGATATGGGACTAACTCTGTGTATTATTGTTATGGCCGAGTGGAAAAAGGGAAATTGGATGATATGAGAGAGACTGGTTTATTTGTATGTGTACAAAGTTAGTTAAAAACATGAGCTTGGATTACAATTTCATCTGAAGAGTGTCTAGGAAAGCTCTAGTGAAATAAACAATGCATATTTATTTAGGTTTATATTCTACAATGTCACTTATTAATTTCACACTGAAGATTTAACCAAAGGAATAGTACCCGCTGCCACCTTGACAAGATATGTAACATTCCGGTATTTAATTCTAGATTTATATTCCATTTGCACTGCTGAATACACTATCATTACATTAGCAAAGATGAAGGAATTTACTGTTTGTAAGCAGGAATGTTTGTAATGGAAATCTTCTGTTACTGATCCATTATGTTGTGCTAAAAGTGTTACTAAAGCTTGCAGGGCAGGCTACAGGAATCCTACATGTTATCACCAGGCTGGTCACTACACTGGTGACTACTTTAGCACGTTTAGCCTAGATAATTACCTTTAAAAACAAGGCTGAAAAATTATCAGGATGAATAGTCTAAATGTTTAGTTAATTCCAAATGTTTGGTTAAATTAAAATTCCAGTCACACCAGCTAGTGTTTCCTTACACATAGGAGAGAGTGAATAGCTTGAGTGTGTAAACCACTAGATAATATGTGCCCATACAATAGGTTATTCATTAAGGTTTATTAGGAATGCTGTCTCTAAACCCTTAAATACTGCCAAATGATGTTTGTATTGTTAATGTGGACTGATTGGGTCTTGTGTCCATTGTGGAGGAAAAAAGTGTATGCACTGATTTTGTTTTCTATCAAATATAGTTTTTGTACTCTAAATGTATTTTTATTATTAACCAAGCATAAGAAGTGAATAAAGATCGATATATTTCTGCATTACTTCCAGTCCAGAGATCTGTTTTGCTAGTTGCTGAAGTTGCTTACATTGTTTTAATATATCAACCCTCAGCTTTCTTTAGGACATTCTACTCTTGTTTATCATTTGAAGTCCTGGCACCAGGTCATCAATACCATTTGAGCACCTATCATAAAGTTAGACTCAAAAAATGTGTGTAGCACAACTTGTCTCTGGCTGGGAATGTGGGGATGGGTGAGGCGTGTGTCCACCGTTGGTGTGTGTCGTCACTAGGCTACTCTCCCCTCGTCCTGCTCCTTGGCCAGCGAGACACACTTCCTGAGCAGGGCAAAATCTGCCTGTCACCGGGACAATGCTCCTCCGAGCGGGAAAGGAAGGGGCCCTTAATCATTCTGGTCATGACCATGGGACACCACCACGCAGAGGGCTCCCCCCCGACACCTGTTACTGGCACAGGGTGTGCCCACTGGGAACGCCACACAGAACAGGTTGGGCTCTCCACTGTCTCCGCTCATTCACTGTGTTTACAGATAGGTGAACGAGAATGCTTAACAAAAACACTCCTGATATACAAGAGCAACGCAGTGAATTATTGAAATCTCAAGCCAGGCAGGTCAGCTCTGATGTAAACTGATTCCGGAATATGGAGTGTAAACAAACATGAGAAGCATGTCAGGGGTTAGGGACCATAGCACAACAGGGCTTGCGTATTTACGCACACTTCTAGTAGAGATGTAGGATCTTAATTTGATCACTCTTTTGTTGCTGATGATTTTCCTGCACAGTTGGAAATGCAAACTTGTAGTGTATTTGAGTGTTAAAAAGGCTTCTAAAGTTAGTAATTTCCACTTTGAATTTTGAGACTGTATCAACCCCAACAAAAATGTCCATTAATTATAATTTACATAATAGTTCAAATGTCCTGTTACTGCGTGATTATTTTCTGCTGTAGCAAACTGGCTCAAATTAAGATCCTACATCTGTAGTTTTCCACGGACAGACACAAGCAGGAAAACCTCCCTGGCCCTTTCTTCAGGGCTGGTCACCGGACAGACAATGCCTCTTTTGTGAGTACTAAGCAGTCATAACTTCTGAATAAGGTCAAGTAGGAATCTTCTAAGACAAATGACAGTACAAAAACTGCATTGGAAGCTAATAATGTGCAGAATATTGATCAAATATTATCATAATGTGTACTGTACAGTATGGATATAGAAGCTGTATTGCGTTAATTCAAAATATACGACAATCCAATTCCCTTAACGTATATACAGTTGAAGTCGGAAGTTTACATACACTTAGGTTGGAGTCATTAAAACTAGTTTTTCAACCACTCCACAAATTTCTTGTTAACAAACTATAGTTTTGGCAAGTCGGTTAGGACATCTACTTTGTGCATGACACAAGTAATTTTTCCAACAATTGTTTACAGACAGATTATTTCACTTATAATTCACTGTATCACAATTCCAGTGGGTCAGAAGTTTACTGTGCCTTTAAACATCTTGGAAAATTCCAGAAAATGATGTCATGGCTTTAAAAGCTTCTGATAGGCTAATTGACATAATTTGAGTCAATTGGAGGTGTACCTGTGGATGTATTTCAAGGCCTACCTTCAAACTCAGTGCCTCTGTGCTTGACATCATGGGAAAATCAAAAGAAATCAGCCAAGACCTCAGAAAAAGAATTGTAGACCTCCACAAGGCTGGTTCATCCTTGGGAGCAATTTCCAAATGCCTGAAGGTACCACGTTCATCTGTACAAACAATAGTACGCAAGTATAAACACCATGGGACCACGCAGCCGTCATACTGCTCAGGAAGGAGACGCGTTCTGTCTCCTAGAGATGAACATACTTTGGTGCGAAAAGTGCAAATCAATCCCAGAACAACAGCAAAGGACCTTGTGAAGATGCTGGAGGAAACGGGTACAAAAGTATCTATATCCACAGTAAAACGAGTCCTACAGTGGGGAAAAAAAGTATTTAGTCAGCCACCAATTGTGCAAGTTCTCCCACTTAAAAAGATGAGAGAGGCCTGTAATTTTCATCATAGGTACACGTCAACTATGACAGACAAATTGAGAAGAAAAAAATCCAGAAAATCACCTTGTAGGATTTTTTATGAATTTATTTGCAAATTATGGTGGAAAATAAGTATTTGGTCACCTACAAACAAGCAAGATTTCTGGCTCTCACAGACCTGTAACTTCTTCTTTAAGAGGCTCCTCTGTCCTCCACTCGTTACCTGTATTAATGGCACCTGTTTGAACTTGTTATCAGTATAAAAGACACCTGTCCACAACCTCAAACAGTCACACTCCAAACTCCACTATGGCCAAGACCAAAGAGCTGTCAAAGGACACCAGAAACAAAATTGTAGACCTGCACCAGGCTGGGAAGACTGAATCTGCAATAGGTAAGCAGCTTGGTTTGAAGAAATCAACTGTGGGAGCAATTATTAGGAAATGGAAGACATACAAGACCACTGATAATCTCCCTCGATCTGGGGCTCCACGCAAGATCTCACCCCGTGGGGTCAAAATGATAACAAGAACGGTGAGCAAAAATCCCAGAACCACACGGGGGGACCTAGTGAATGACCTGCAGAGATCTGGGACCAAAGTAACAAAGCCTACCATCAGTAACACACTACGCCACCAGGGACTCAAATCCTGCAGTGCCAGACGTGTCCCCCTGCTTAAGCCAGTACATGTCCAGGCCCATCTGAAGTTTGCTAGAGTGCATTTGGATGATCCAGAAGAGGATTGGGAGAATGTCATATGGTCAGATGAAACCAAAATAGAACTTTTTGGTAAAAACTCAACTCGTCGTGTTTGGAGGACAAAGAATGCTGAGTTGCATCCAAAGAACACCATACCTACTGTGAAGCATGGGGGTGGAAACATCATGCTTTGGGGCTGTTTTTCTGCAATGGGACCAGGACAACTGATCCGTGTAAAGGAAAGAATGAATGGGGCCATGTATCGTGAGATTTTGAGTGAAAACCTCCTTCCATCAGCAAGGGCATTGAAGATGAAACGTGGCTGGGTCTTTCAGCATGACAATGATCCCAAACACACCGCCCGGGCAACGAAGGAGTGGCTTCGTAAGAAGCATTTCAAGGTCCTGTAATGGCCTAGCCAGTCTCCAGATCTCAACCCCATAGAAAATCTTTGGAGGGAGTTGAAAGTCTGTGTTGCCCAGCGACAGCCCCAAAACATCACTGCTCTAGAGGAGATCTGCATGGAGGAATGGGCCAAAATACCAGCAACAGTGTGTGAAAACCTTGTGAAGACTTACAGAAAACGTTTGACCTGTGTCATTGCCAACAAAGGGTATATAACAAAGTATTGAGAAACTTTTGTTATTGACCAAATACTTATTTTCCACCATAATTTGCAAATAAATTCATTAAAAATCCTACGTGATTTTCTGGAATTTTTTTTCTCATTTTGTCTGTCATAGTTGACGTGTACCTATGATGAAAATTACAGGCCTCTCTCATCTTTTTAAGTGGGACAACTTGCACAATTGGTGGCTGACTAAATCCTTTTTTCCCCCACTGTATATCGACATAACCTGAAAGGTCGCTCAGCAAGGAAGAAGCCACTGCTTCAAAACCGCCATAAAAAAGCCAGACTACGGTTTGCAACTGCACATGGGGACAAAGATCGTACTTTTTGGAGAAATGTCCTCTGGTCTGATGAAACAAAAATAGAACTGTTTGGCCATAATGACCATCGTTATGTTTGGAGGAAAAAAGGGGTGGCTTGCAAGCCGAAGAACACCATCCCAACCGTGAAGCACGGGGGTGGCAGCATCATACTGTGGGGGTGCTTTGCTGCGGGAGGGACTGGTGCACTTCACAAAACAGATGGCATCATGAGGAAGGAAAATGATGTGGATATATTGAAACAACATCTCAAGACATCAGTCAGGAAGTTAAAGCTTGGTCGCAAATGGGTCTTCCAAATGGACAATGACCCCAAGCATACTTCCAAAGTTGTGGCAAAATGGCTTAAGGACAACAAAGTCAAGGTATTGGAGTGGCCATCACAAATACCTGACCTCAATCCTATAGAAAGTTTGTGGGCAGAACTGAAAAAGCGTGTGCGAGCAAGGAGGCCTACAAACCTGACTCAGTTACACCAGCTCTGTCAGGAGGAATGGGCCAAAATTCACCCAACTTATTGTGGGAAGCTTGTGGAAGGCTACCCGAAACGTTTGACCCAAGTTAAACAATTTAAAAGCAATGCTACCAAATACTACTTGAGTGTATGTAAACTTCT